TTACTGTACGGCATTCAACAATGAGCAAAGCCCATAGTCAGCTTTAAAAGGTCTCAAAATAACAAACGTAAAACAATTCAAACGAGAAAACTAACAAAATAATGAACGAAATACAAAATTGTTACACAGCAACAAACGACAACCACTGAATTACAGGCTCCTGATTTGGGACAGGCACATACAGAATGTGGCTGGGTTAAACTCATTTGAAGGCGCAAACTCTCTTCCCCCGTTACTTTGGAAAGTGGTGCAGCAGTCGACATAAGAACAAACTGTAAAAATTATAGTTGAAAAAGGCTTTACTCATCCGATGGATACAAATAGAACTACATCTAACAAAAACACAGAGTGGACGTGGACGGGTTCTTATTTTATTGACCTTTGTGTGTCAATTTTGTGTTGTTGTGAGCTGTCTAATTGATGTTTACCTCACCACTCCTTTTGTTATGTACACATGTATTTTGATATTGCTTTAATGTTTACGTGACTGTATCTCTTATAAGTGTCTTAATTGGTATGCTGTCATGCAGCTTTTGCTTAATATTTAGAAATGACTAAATAAAGTTGGGAGACAGTCTTTGTGACATTTATCCAACGAGATAAAAACAAGAGTGCACACGCTGAAATGTCTCGCCTTCTTTACTAATCATTGATTTTATGTTGATAGTCCTAAATACAAAGCTTTACTACAAGTAACACATAAATTTAACATGATCCAAGAAAATGAGGTCAAGGTCAGATAAACCAAACGAGAAATACATGTACACCTTACAATCAGTCAATAAACCATACATAGTTGACCTATTGCTTATTGTTTCTAAGAAACAGTCTTAAACAAGAAAACTTAACATTGACCAATGAACCATGAAAATGAGGTCAAAGTCAGATGAACCATGCCACACAGACATGTACACCTTACAATCAATTTGGGCATTAAATATAGTTGACCTATTGCTTATAGTATCTAAGAAACAAACTTAACCATGAAAACTTAACATTGACTAATGAACCATGAAAATGAGGTCAAGGTCAGATGATACCTACCAGACAGACATATACACCTTACAATCAAATATAGTTGATCTATTGCTTATAGTTGAAGAAAAACAGACCAAAACACAAAAAACACAAAAACTTAACACTGAGAAATGAACCGTGAAAATGATATCAAGGTCAAATAAAACCTGTGAGACTGACATATACATCATAAAATATTTCCATACACCATTTATAGTTGACCTATTGCATATAGTATTAGAAAAAAAGACCAAAACTCAAAAACTTAACTTTGACCACTGAACCATGAAAATGAGGTCAAGGTCAGACGACACCTCCAAGTTGGACATGTACACCTTACAATCATTCCATATACCACATATAGTAGACCTACTGCTTTTAGTATCTGATATATGGACTTGACCACGAAAACTTAACCTTGTTCACTGATCCATGAAATGAGGTCGAGGTCAAATGAAAATTGTCTGACGGGCATGAGGAACTTGCAAGGTACGCACATACTAAATATAGTTATCCTATTATAAGAAAGAAATTAACATTACAAAAAATGTTGACTTTTTTTCAAGTAGTCACTGAACCATGAAAATGAGGTCAAGGACAATGGACATATGACAGACGGAAACTTCGTAACATAAGGCATCTATATACAAAGTATGAAGCATCCAGGTCTTCTAGCTTCTAAAATATAAAGCTTTTAAGAAGTTAGCTAACGCCGCCGCCGCCGCCGGATCACTATCCCTTGGTCGAACTTTCTGTGACAAAAGTCGCAGGCTCGACAAAAATGACATCTGTTTCGCAAAAAAAAAAATTGGGTTGTCTTTCAACTTTGAAGCTAGGATTTGATTGCTGACATAAATGGGGTCAGAAGTTTTGAAATAAAAAATAGTGGAGCATTTTTTTGGGGGAAAATCAGGCTACATAAAATTACGTATTGTGCTCTTTGAGTATCAAATGAGTTACGGAAGCTTTATGCATTTCAGGTTGCATATGCCCTTTCTGTGCTTTTCAAACGATTGAGATTTTTTCTGTTGAATACCCCAAATTCTTCATTTATGCACAAAGTTAATAAAACAAATTGTTACCTTTATCTACAATCATATATTGGCAGATATTTTATTCATTAGTACAAGAAGAAAACCCCTTTTTATTCAGAAATGTTTGCCTGTTGAAGTTTACCAATAAAATCCAGTCTTAAAATTTTCGTTAGACATCATTTAAAATGTTTGAATGATGACGATTTATGAATAGCTGGCATGTCAGTAACTGCTAGTAGTCCTTTGTTCATTTATGTATCATTGTCATTTTGCTTAGTTTCTTTTGTTACCTATTTTGACATCGGACTCGGACTTCTTTTAAACTGAGTTTTACTGTGCGTATTGCTATGTGTTTCTTTATTCTACATTGGCTAGAGGTATAGGGGGATCTCACAAAACATGTTTAACCCCGCCGCATTTTTGCGCCTGTCCCAAGTCAGGAGCCTCTGGCCTTTGTTAGTCTAGTATGTTTTTTAATTTTAGTTCATTTATATGTTTTGGAGTTTAGTGTGACGTCCATTTTCACTGAACTAGCACACAATTTTAGTTAGGGGCTAGCTGAGGACCACCTCAGGGTGCGGGATTTTCTCGCTGCATTGAAGACCTATTGGTGGTCTTCGGCTGTTGTCTGCTCTTTGGTCGGGTTGTTGTCTCTTTGACATATTCCCCATTTCCATTTACAATTTTATTGAACATTTCATTTGTATCGCTCGCCTCATTTTGCATGATAAAAAATAGCACAGGTAGCATTTTTTTAATTAATGTATATGAGGTTAAGGTATGAACTTTCTCAATTAAGCTTGTTTTCTATGAAGAACTTTTTGTTTTTCCATGCTGTGGAGCGTGTTATTTTCAGACGGTAACAGTAAAAACACTTATGTGTTGCCCTATTTTGCACTGTCCTAAAGGAAACAACAGAAATCTTTAAAAAAATTTATGTACATTCTTTTTATTGTCAGATTTAGATTGATGTTTTAAAAATACCTTTATTACAATCATTACAAAACAAAAGTTTCAACAAAAAGAAGTAACAAAGGGGGATTCTCGTTTTATGTTGTTCAGTATATATAAATGGGTCGTTCGTTTCAAACGACCTCACAACAAAATACCACTGCATTGATCTAATTATAAATGATTTAAATAACCCTGACATGTATTTATTTTAAGGTATTACAAAATAACTTCAAATGTAATCACATAATTTTACCTATCCATTTTTATAGGTGATAAAAGAGTTATTAACAGATAATTAAATACATAAAGAATCTACCACTGTATTGAATGTGATAGAATATTAATTCACTCGAGACATTTGAATTTTCATATTTAAAATTTAACTGTCGATAGTGGATGAATATTGTATTTTACAAGATTTGGTGGTTGAATCTGTTTCTCTAATGATTTTTTTATGATAAACAGATAAACTCAATCCTTCTTTAGAATGATTTGCAAAAAGATGTGTTCTTTCTATGTGACGTCATCAGACGATCACATCTTTTCATGACGTCACAATAGAAAATTCAGAGGAAAGCAAGACTATTAGACTTCATAATCAAAGTTTTACCAATAAAACTGAGGTCAAACGAACCACACGTTTATTAAATTAAAATATTTAACAGGTCAGTAAAAGGATAAATAATGTAAAAATTAGGGAAAATGTTTTATAAGTATAAACAAAAACATGTGCATTTTGATACTGAAGGTGTGTGAACAGGAAGATCAATGAAATAATTTGATCCAATGCTCCTGTAGAAGTCACGTCCTCACAATTATTAGAAGTATGTAAGCGGAACGTGTACACACAACAATTTGGTTAATCCCACAATTGTCTTAGATAAACGCCTGTACTAAGTCAGGAATATTACAATTGATTTCACTTGCTCCATTGATTGATAGCGTTTGATTTTGTCAGTTTTCATGGACTTCTTCTTTTTGAAATTGCCTTGAAGTTCGATATTTTTGTTATACTTTTTGGGGAAAGAAGGAAAAAGGAACCCCTTGCTTCAAAAAAAAACAATTTTCCATAATTGTCTTTCTTCTTTAGAAGCAAACATATTTTTGCTAAACATCTGTTAAGTCAAAACCTAAACAAGCCAAAACTTTTCATGTTTTGGTCTTATACATCCATGTCTTTTATATGTCTAGATGTGAGCTGTCCTGATGGAGGTGAATAACAAAAAAAAAGCACTTCGAACTCACGTAATCAAAAACATTTCATTTTCATTTCACTGCTGGATTTATACTATTGACAAAATATATGTAACGTTTACTATGGCGGTTTTTCTAAAGAAACCAACTGTGTCCATTAGCAATTGATGTCACTGTCCAATACATCAATGCTTATCTTTCACAGAATTATTCATGGTTTTGTTACTTTGTTGATTTCATCCAAGAAACTATGAAGTCTACCTTATGTATCACGAATTACATATAAAAATTGTCAATGAGGATCGGCTGAATACTAAGCGCTATGAAAAAAGGACTTCATTTTTCCATTGTTTACAGCTGATTTGCGTAGGGTTTGAGTTGTGCAAACTTAAGACTTTGTTGTAAGGGTCTGCTATTGTTTCCTTTCACTTCTGTGCTTTCTTTTTGACATGATGTTTTGTTTTGTTTGCTTGATTTTTTACGTATAACTTTGTATTGATGCCTTGTTATCTTCTTTTGTTTTGTAATTCAAATAAATGCTTTGCAAAAACAGACAATACATTTGAACCTTTCAAGGAATATTGTAGATCTTTTTGACATATGGAAAGTTTTATATTTTACTAAAAGAAATTGACTTAACCTTTTAACATTTTCTATATTATTGTGTAGTTAGGTTGCTGTCACACTGACGTATAACTGACGTCACCTTTCTGTCGTGTTATAATTTAACAACAAGTTGATTTGCTATCCTTTTGACGTTTTTCCTTAGTATCGTATTATTCTCATAGTTGATAAAACAAATGGTGTATAACTTTTATTGATTAACCTATTACCTAAATCGGCAATCATATATAGATAATATATTCTTTCTCTTGTGTTTAGACCATACCATAAGATATAATTAAATGACTCAGTTTTCTATAAGCATCTTTATATCACATAGCACAACGTGTGTTTAACTTCAGCAGAAATCAATCCCGGACGATTGGTGGACATGACATTCAATAGAAAGGAAATGACAGCTAAAATAACAATGATACGACAAATGTCTCCTTGGGTGATAATATTTCATTTAGAAGTAAGAAATGTCATAAACATTTGCAAAATAGGTTCCATTTGCTACTAACAGCTGCTTCCCCACTTCGTCAAAGAAAAGTGTTGTTGGCCTGTTAAGACCATCTTCCTTGGTCAGTATCTGTTTGAACTGTTTTCCATCAGGAGATATGACAACCACATTACATGTGTTGTCTCCAACAACAAACACGTTTCTGTTGTTATCCACGGTTATTCCTTGGGGACCATCTAAAATGTTTTTATCCTTGAACTCCCATATGTTTGCTCCACTATATGAACAACAAGTTACTTTTTGTGTATCTGGATTTGTAAAGAACATCTTGTCGGCATGCGTTGAGACGTATGATAACTGCGATGAGACTGTGTTGGCGATTGTAGTGATACTGTAATCTGAACAAGATATTACATGCAAGTCTTTATCTAAGACACAGCAGATCAATGATTTACCGTCATAAGTAATTCCGTAAGGATCACCTGGTAAGTCAATGAACTTTTTCACCTTTTTCTTAATCAGATCAACAATACTGATACCTGGCTTTTTACTTAAATGTCTAGTGGATACAGCTACTGTAGTTTCATCTAAGATCGCTAGATCAAACGCGCGGTATGGTTTTTGAAGTTGGATGGTATATTCAACTCCACTTTCGGCATTAACTGCTTTAACTCTTCCATTGGTATCTTTGAAATCTGTAAACAGAAATTCACCTTTTTTTGTAACGCAGCATCCAGTAGGGTATATACAAGTTTGGTGAACTTTTCGTTTAAATACAAGTTTTACATTGTTAATTAATACTACCTCTTTGGGGATCATCATTTGGGCTTGTCTTTCTTTTCTCCTATTTAGATTTATGTCAGTAGACTGACTTTTCTTGACTTCAATGAAACCAAATTGATCAACCATCAGAATATCCTGTATTTTAGTATTGGTTGCACTTTCTATGTTGATTTTATTGTGATTCTTATTTTCAATACTAGACTGTAGATGCTTTTCATATTCCGTGGTTTTCGCCTGAATTTCCCTCATACATAGGAATGCTTGCAGATCTGATGCGTATTTCTTCGTGTTCTTGATTTCTGATTTCATCTGATTTATTTTCTTTGTTTGATCTTGAAGTGAAGACACAATCGACCGAACGGTGTCGCAGCAAGTGAATTCAATTTGGTTAAGTTCTTTTATGAACTCCTCTTCAAGTTTGTTGATATGCTGGATGACCTGTTTTTTTAAGTGACAAACTTGTGCAGATATTTTCTTCTTTTGATCTGTAATACTATCTATATCAGATTCTCTATCTTTACGAATTAGATTGATATAAGTAAGTAGGTCCTCAATGTTCTGCTCTAGGTCAATAAAGGACTCTGAAGTTTTGATGTCCCTTACTCTATCATCAAGTGACACTATTTTCCCACAGTTACCATGATCCTTTACACACTTGTTGCATATTGGACTATCGTGATTAATACAGTAAAGTTGATACATCTCACTGTGATAAACGCAATGGTGCTTGATGTCGGTTACAACAGCTGGTAATAATTGGTAATCAGAAATAAAAATAGTTTGGTGATTTCCTGTTGCCTTTGAAACATTATGATGTTCTCTACAGCCAGAACATAATGGTTCCTCACACTGAATACACCAATGAGTTGACGTCGAAGTTTGGTGTCGAAGATCGCATACCGCGCACACTGGTGTACAAGTAGCCATTGACGATGCCACTGTCAAAATAAATTAAAAACTATGTTATAAATTTGTATTTGTGTTTGTATTATATGGGGAAGGTAGTCATTATTTGAACTTTAATAACAAACTCAATAAATAAATCTAGATTATTATAATTTGTTACATCGCTCCATGATTATAGCACTTCATAAATTGTGTGCATCCGACGCGTTTTTCTGAATCTATAGGGAGAGCTAAAACCAAATACTATACGAAAAATAGGTAATTATGTCACACGTCAGAATCTGTATGACCAAAACAGACCGAGAAATAAAAGCCAAAACTAACAAAGGTCAACGTTACCTAATTGGGTTGGAACTTACTTATTTTGATAAAAAAAAATATATTATTATTTATGTTCTAAAACTGGTTACTGATAATTTTATGAGACTAGCAGTCAACCACTCCGGGAATAAACACTGGTAACTGAAATTATCACACTTAATAAATTCCGTGTGTCCGGTGCGCTTGTCTGGATTTATCTTCATCGGCAACACTCAATCTAAAATTCTTACATATGAGATGATAAATACTTAAACTAGTCAAGAAGTATATGACAAAACGAGATCGAAAAAAGGATGGTCATTTCCAAATAATGTTAACTTAAATGACTCCTAAATTTAAAGAATTGTTTTTATATTTGAATAGAAGTTGAAAAAGAGGGGCAAACGATACCAGAGTACATTCGTACCAGGGATGGGCACGATTACTGACAAATGTAATCGATTAATAATCGATTACATGAAGGATTTTTGTGTAATCGATTAATAATCGATTACTCTAATTTTTGTTTGTAATCGATTGCAATCGATTACTTTATCAAAAGTAATTACATTACTTTTCGATTACTGTCAATTACATGCTACAAAATTATAAAAAAAAATAATAAAGTAAGTTATACACAATTATGTTGCTCAACGTTTTTTATAGTCGAAATTTAGAACTTTACTAAAAACAGCATTTAAAGCATTGTTACCAAATTTTAAGTTCACAGTTGTTTTCTAGATGGAATATCATACTGAAGGTCAGAAATATTCAAAATTTCTTGAAATTTTGGCTTTCAAGATAAATAAGAGATGACATCGCATTGCATCAATCAGTTATTTATATTGTAAGTTTTTTCAAAAATTTGCTTTCATTCTTACTTAAGTTAGCTTTTTTGTTTTTACTCGTTAAAACAGGTATATTCTAACATAGATGATTAAAATGTTGTAAGTTTCCTTTGAAAAAAATTAAAACCATAGAATAATTAATTAGTTCAGCAAATTTTAAAGATTGAAATTATAATTATAATGACATATATGAATTAATCCTTATGTTTGGATAACCACCCTAATTACAGGTTATAAAACTGTCAATGGAGTACAATTTATAACCTGGGGAAAAATAATGTAAATCTCCTTCTTAACTAGACATAAATGAAATGAAAACAAAGTCTGCATATTATTGATTAGAAGTCTGAACTTCTGATTAGTAAAGACAAGAAGTTTGTTAATTTTTTTATTCTCTAATCAAATTATAAACAATATATATTTATTGTGTCAAAAAGGGATACATGTATCTATATCTGAAAAAAAAAATTTCGATGCATACCCATTGGTTCATTGTCAAAAGGATTTTGTGTACTTTCTCAACTTTTTTATCATAACATTGTAAGATCAACAGTTACTGTTTATCTATTCAAAGCTAAAATTTCAACTCTTATTGAAAATTATGCTTGAAGCAATTTTAATACAAATAAGCTTACTACTTTAATGTAGAACAGAAATTAACTTAAGACTCATTTCTTAACTTAAATCTATTTTCATATTTTAATATAAAAGGTTTTGAATTATTGACAAGCACATAAGTTCATTTGTTTCAAAACCTAAATATCAAGTAAAATTTGGTAGGGGATCTGGTTGATTATAATGCAGCTTGAGATAATAGATAGAAATAAGGCAGTTGATAAACTCTTAAGTCATATTACAATGTAATACATTCTATTTTATCTGTACTATAAAGTGATGAATACATCATGTACATACATTCCTTCATTTAAAATAGGTTATATTTCAAAGTAATCGAAATGTAATCGAAAAATAATCGATGATTACATCATAAATTTTGCCGTAATCGATTAAATTACGATTACATGTAATCAAAAATGTCTTCGATTACAGATTACTGTCGGTTACTGGGGAAAATGTAATCAATTACAATCGATTACGATTACAGATTACGATTACCCCATACCTGATTCGTACTCATAAATCGATAATAGACTGACAACGCCATGGCTTAAAAAAAGACAAACAATCAAACAATAGTACACAAAACACAACATAGAAAACTAAAGACTAAGCAACACGAACCCCACCAAAATTGGGGCTGATCTCAAGTGCCCCAGAATGGTAGGCAGATCCTACTCCACATGTGGCACCTGTCCTGTTGCTCATGTTAGTACAAACCCGGTAACATTTATAATTCAGTAGGTCAGATTCGTAAAAAGGGGACGGGATGGTAGATACGACATTAGGAACATAACCGCTACCATTTGTGAAACGGATATTCCATAAAAGTCAATAAACAAGTTTACACTGTAAATTAAATCAAATAATAGGATACTAGTACTAGATTCTTTCATGAGATATATCAATATTTAAATTGAACATCAATGGTATTTATTTGCATGATCTGCAATGTTGTTTGTGTTTTTCTTTTACAAACATAACGTTGTCAGTTTATTTTCAACATATGTGTTTGAATGTCACTTGAGTATCTTAAGCCTTTCTTTGACATATGTTATATAATGGGAAACCCTTGAGGGTAAGCAATTAGTACTCCATTTTTTCTAGATATTATTTTCTAATTGATGTCTTATTAGTTGTTGTTTAAAAGGAAGCTAATAATAAATCATAAGTTCTATGTGGTCAGTTAAAACCATTCCTTCGAATATTTTACGGACGCCATGATGAGTTTGGTTGACCGTTAAGAAGTAACAGTTTCACATTGTCGTAACTACAATCCCGGCCTCTTTCCCTCGCCCTACCGAATTATACTTTGCACTGGGTTTGTACTTATATGAGCAACACGCCTAATCCACAAGTGGATCAAACCGGTTTACCCTTGCTGGGCATTTGCGATCACTACCGGTTTTTATGCTCAATCCTTAGTTTTCTACGTCATCGTTTGAATCACCATTGACAATTTATTTAACCAGGTCAAATCAATATTTCAATTCACCAGAAGCCATTTTCTGTTTCGAGGCTGAAATATACAATTGTTTATTCTCGAGTGTTCTGAAACCTTCACTGAAATAAACACGCAAACATATATATCATAAGTTCATGATGCGTAATCGTTCTTATCATTGTTTAAATCACACTTACTAATACAAGAAAATATCATAAACAGTGATAGAAATTGACATCACAAACCTTCAATGTTTACCTGTGATCATGGTGATATTGATCACACACATGTATTTTAAATATACTGAATATGTAAAGAAATGCATTGAAATATTTGATACTTTCGTTTAAGACGATGTATGTGTCAAAGTAAAATAAAGAATATGATTGGTTCACCAATTTTGACATTAAAGGCATAAAATCCTTTAAAACTAATGATTTAATAATAATCAATTAATTTGGAACTAAAATGTTATATTGTTTAAAAAAAATAATAAGACGATTGTTTCCGAACTAACAGAGAGTCTTATACACAAGCATGTCTTTTTTGATATGTCAAACTTATCAATATAGAGAGAAATTCACTGAGGTGATATATTATTTGGTAGATATTGATATGTCAATGGGTCATCATTTTTTATTTTTATATCAGACATCAGAAAATTCTGTGCACTTTTTTCTAAATTATACGAATATTTTTTCCTATACTTTATTAACCTTATCATCACACATATATCAATTTCAAAGAGACATAAGAAATGAAACAATATTGATAAGGTTACGATAATACGGAGTAAACTATGGCAGTTATTTTTTTTTTATTGTAAAATATTTAAAACAGATGAAAGTTTTAAATAATGTTACACATTTCTTCATGTTCACATGAAAGAAGCCAAATAAATCTGCATTCGGTATCTTGAGTTTTTAAATCATTGAATATTTTAAAAGCGGAGTTTAACATAACTTTCCGTTGTTTTTCGAATGCTAGACATTCTATCAGAAAATGTATTTCATCTTCACTTGAATTTAAAGAACAAAATTACAAATTCTTTGATTTTTGTCAATCTTTCTCTAACGACCCGTTCATTAGCTAAATTAATTTATTAGTGCTAATTTTCATTTTTGTGGGGTGATTTCTAGTATCGAGGTTCTTCATCACAGATAAGTCTCTATTTTGAAAATATCCATAAATTTGAAATAAGATCGAAATATACCATTTCAATGAAGCATTCTGTTTATGATAACCTTTCAAAACCTTCTTAATCTAAAGAAAGATCTAGTGTGATTAAAAAAAACCAAACATACCAGATTTATAATGCAGAATACCAGATTTTTGTTTCGAAATCCAAGACTCAGTGGCGCTCGAATCATTTATTGACTCATGTTAAACAATTTTGGGACGTACGGACGGACGTACGTACGTACAGACGGACAAGGGTAAAACTTAATGCCCCCACCGCTGCGGCGGGGGCATAAAAACATTTTTGAAAAAATTAGGTCAGTGCTTCTGTATCCCAACAAATTAAACAAGAGTGCACACTGAAATGTATCACCTGCTTTACTGACCATCGATTTTATGTTGAAAGTCCTAAAGATTAAGGTTTTACTACAAGTATCACATAAGCTTTCAATTTGAGGATGCAAGATCAGATAAATCATGTTAAACACACATGTACACCTTACAAGTATCCATAAAATGAATATAGTTGACCTAGTGTTTTTGGAATTTGAACAAGAGTGCAAGTACTAAAAAGTCTCGCCTGCTTTATTGACCATTTAAAAAAAAATCGTGTTAAAAATGCAACAATGAGGTCAAAATCAGATAATTCCTATCAAACATTTATTGAACTATACAATCAACACATACACCAAACATGAATGACCTATTGCTTTTAGTAATTGAAAAACAGACCAAACAAAACAAATTATAACATTGACCAATGGACCATGAAAATGAGGTCACGGTCATATGGTTTTTCCAAGACCAACATGTACATCTTTCATCAAATATAGCAGTTCTATTGTTATTAGTGTTTGAAAATCATACCGAAACACAATAACTAAACATTGATAACTGAACCATGAAAACGAGGTAAAGGTCAGATGATACCAGCTAGACCGACATGTACATCTTAGAATCATTCCATACATCAAATTTAGTTGACATATTACTTATAGTACTTGAAATCCAGACGCAAACACTAAATATTAACCAATGAACCATTAAAATAACGTCAAGGTCAGATTAAGCCTGCCAGACTGACATGTACCCATTACAATCACTGACTGTTCTGAATCTTTTGTTGTGCCTTGCACATCAATATTATTTTCATCTGATCTAGCTTTATATCTACTGTCTAAAACATCATATTTATAATCATACTCATCCTATTCAATCTCATACAATTTATGGACTTAAATCATTCAAAGAATCGAATCTATTATCTTGCTTTTTCTGGTTATCTTGCATGACTGTATGGATTTCAACATCTCCATGAATATATTATTGTAAACACAAGAAATACTTTTTTTCTAGAAATTTGGGGTTCAAGCTACCACACGTGACATTGGACGTTTTACTTGTACTTGGAGTTGGCTTCACAGTTGAAGATCTTCTTTTACTCTTTTTCATACTAGAGTCTCAACTCTGCATCTTTAAGACTGAGGATGTAGTCCTCACAATTACTTTTCCTTGAGAGAACATCGTCCTCTTTCATATTTCTCTTTGCATTCTTTCTGCCATTTTTTCTCGGGCTGTCATAAATTGACAAAATAGCCAACTTCTGGAACTTGTCGTAAAATAAATTAAAAATTAAAGTAAACAACATTGATATATGTTTTGTAGTCATTTATTGTCAATTTTGTTGACAAAAATTATTAAGACTAAATAAATTAATTTATTCATCAGGACGAACTTTGTCTGTCCTCGTCGAAATATGCAAACACATTGATAAATCATTCATGCACAAACACTATCTCATTTAATTCCGGAAGTGATACGACATAAAAGAACCACAAAAATGAGGGCAAGGTCAGATGTTACCATCAAGACAGACATTTAAACATTTCAATCATTCCATACACCAAATATAATTGACCTATTGCTTATAGTACTTCAAAAACAGAACAAAACACAAAAAATTATCAATGACAAATGAACCATGAATATAATGTCACGGTCAGATGAACAAGAGGCTCTCAAGAGCCTGAATCGCTCACCTGTATTTCAGAGGAGAAGATTTTTAAATGTTAGCAAACTTGATGAACAAATTTTGTAAAATTGTCTTTAAAAGGCAATAACTCCTTAGGGGGTCAATTGACAATTTTGGTCATATTAACTTTTTTGTAGATCTTACTTTGCTGAACATTATTGCTGCTTACAATTTATATATATCTATAATAATATTCAAAATAATAACAAAAAACTGCAAAATTTTGTTAAAACTATCAATTCGGTGGCAGCAACCCAACAATGGGTTGTTCGATTCGTCTGATAATTTTAGGGCCGATAGATCTTGACCAATTAAACAATTTTACCCATGTCACATTTGCTCTAAAAGATTTAGTTTTTGAGATATAAGCCAAAAACTGCATTTGACCCTTACGTTCTATTTTTAGCCATGGCGGCCATGTTTGTCAATGGATACAAACTTCGGATACAATTTATAAACAAGATACCCTAAGGAACATTTAGTTAAAGTTTGAAGGTAATTGGCCCAGTAGTTTCAGAGGAAAAGATTTTTAAATGTTAGCAAACTTGATGAACAAATTGTGTAAAATTGTCTTTAAAGGGCAATAACTCCTTAAGGGGTCAATTAACAATTATGGTCATATTAACTTTTTTGTAGATTTTACTTTGCTGAACATTATTGCTGCTTACAGTTTATATATATCTATAATAATATTCAAAATAATAACAAAAAACCGCAAAAGTTTCAAAGTAAATAGACCATGACTGAGGGGGTGGGGCCAAATATTCTCCATGGAAATGAGATGTGCTAATGCTTATACAACTGAACACCAATTAACATTGGCCTACCACTAATGGTTCCCCTTGAACTGACCTAATCACAAACTAATACATGTTAACTTAGCAAAATTTTCAAAGTCTATAGACCATGACTAAGGGGGCAGAGCCAAATAATCTCCATGGAAATGAGATATGCCACTGCTTTTACAACTGCATACCAAATATCATTGACCTACCACTAGTGGTTCCCTATAAATTGACCTAATCACAAACTAATACATGTAAACTATGAAAAGTTTCAAAGTCAATAGACCTTGACTGAGGGGGCGGGGCCTAAAAATCTCCATGGTAATGAGATATGCCAATGCTAATACAACTGCATACCAAATATCATTGACCTACCACTAGTGGTTCACCATGAACTCGACCTTATCACAAACTAATACATTGTTGACGCCATCGCTACCGTCACACAGGCCGGAAACAGCATACCTATGTCTCGCTTTTTGACTCCGTCAAGGCGAGACTAAAACTGCAAAATTTTGTTAAAACTACCAATTCGGTGGCAGAAACCCAACAATGGGTTGTTCGATTCGTCTGAAAATTTCAGAGCTGATAGATCTTGACCAATTGAACAATTTTACCCAATGTCAGATTTGCTCTAAAAGCTTTAGTTTTTGAGATATAAGCCAAAAACTGCATTTGACCCCTATGTTCTATTTTTAGCCATGGTGGCCATGTTTGTCGATGGATCAAAACTTCGGATACAATTTATAAACTAGATACCTTAAGGAACATTTAGTTAAAGATTGAAGGTATTTGGCCCAGTAGTTTCAGAGGAGAAGATTTTTGAAATAGTTTACGACAACAGACGACGACGACGACGGACGCCAAGTGATGGCATAAGCTCACATGGGGCCCTTTGGGCCCCGGTGAGCTAAAAAGTTACATGTGCTCCTTACAATCATTCCATACACCAAATTTAATTGACTTACTAATTACAGTATCTGTGAAACGGACCTTATCATGTAACTTTAACCTTAATCACTGATCCATGAAACGAGGTCGAGGTCAGAACCATGTCTCTCAGACATTGTCACATTGCAAGGAACCCATATACCAAATACAGTTATCCTATTACTCATTACATTATGAGTGTAAATTTCACATGACAAAAAAAACTGTATTTTATTTCAAGCAGTGGATGAACCATGAAATGAGGTCAAGGACAATGGACAAATTAAAACTTTGTAACATAAGGTATCTGCATACAAGGTATGAAGCATCTAGGTCTTGTACTTTCTGAAATATAAAAGCTTTATACAAATAGTTTATGCCAGACAGTAATCCCTATGTCTCGCATACTGCAATAGGTGAGACACAAAAAACCAATATCTGGATCCATGATAAGAAAAGAGAAGGTCGAATTTCTTTTTCAGTGTTTAATTTGGCACAATATTCATTTATTTCTAGCATGTCTAGTTTAATACAAAAATAAAGTTGTCTACCTTTGTACAGAACATTCTCTCCTAATACAGGATTAAAAATAGCTCATTACATCAAATGTCAAAGATGATTAACTCCCTTTATACAGAACATTCTCTCCTTACACAGGAATGATCATAAATAGTTCAAAACAACAGAAATATACAATTTTCAAAGATTAACAAGAGAATTAGGGTATTTGATAATGTTAAAATGAAAGCAACCCAATAACAAAAATAAACAAAAAGTTTTTACAGCACTAATACATGTATACTTTGGATTCATTTATTTTCATGGGTACCAATTTTTCGTGGATTAAAGAAAACTTTCAAGTTCATGGATGTCTAATTTCATTTTTTTGGCGAAGTCTGCATACAAGCCTATAGAAAATTTGTCATTTGATGAACATTAAAATTTCGTGGTTCAAATATCCATGAAAATTGGTATCCAATGAATAATAATGATTCCACAGTCTTGAACAAACTTCTATTGACAGCTTTTCTTGGAATCATTTTTTTTATAATTAATTTCATGAATGTATAAGGGACAGCCACAAAAGTAAGACTTGACATCTATGAATTATTCAAGTCCATAGGCTTTAAAAACATTGTTCAAATTTAAAAAGATATTTGTATACACCTTATTTCAATGACATATATATGTAGCAATATAGATGCAAGACTTTTTTAAGTGTCCTATGTCCAACACAGGTATGATCACCAGTGATCACATCACAGTAGATGGCAATTATAAAATTGAAGTCAACATCCAACAGCATTGTCAAGAATCTCTTGCTTTTTTGTTGGTAACATCACACATGGGTTGAGTACACTTTACTCCTGTGTCTGTGACTGATTTAGCTTTCATTGGATTTTCTTCACTGACCTGTAGATTTATATAAGAAAAATATACACTGCATTAGAAAATACAATTGAAAGTGTATGATGTGAGTGTGGTTGCCTCCAATTTTAAGACTAAATCAAGATTCACATTTGTTTCTAAAAGCAGACCTATAGTCTATTTTGTGTAAATAAAAACTTTCACCAATCAAACAATAGTATTTTTAAACCAGGTGTATCAGCATAAAATTAGAATATGTGATATGATTGCCAATGAGACAATTATTCCACCAGTGACCGAATGACAATAGGTTAGCAACTGTAGGTATCAGTTCAGCAATAAAAATTTGGGATTTTAAGCGCAAAATCTATTTTGAGACTAAGTTTTCGTGTTATGACTCTCTGTGATTCTAATCTTTTGCAAAGAACAAATTAAGACTAGATGATTTTTTTAGCAATTTCATCTTAAAAAAGTACTTTCAAAATTAAGCAAAATAAACCACTTACAAAAAATTCAAACTTAACAGGAATTTGCATTGTTATTTAGAATAAACTGTTATCACAGAGATATGTCTCGCCTATTTGTTATTTTGATAATGCAAATGTTGAAATTAAAATAGTAATACTTTAACATGTAAATTATGCAAACATTCAAAGTCAATGAACCATGACTGAAGGTACAGGGCTAAACATACCAAATACCATTGACTTTTCACAAGTCGTTCCCTTTAAACAAACCTAAACACAAACATTAACTTGTAAACTATGTAAAAGTTTCAAAGTCAATGAACCATAATGAGGGGGTGGGGTTATATAATCTCCATGGAAATGAAACTTGCAAAGCCAATACATTTACATACAAAATATCATTGACTTAACATTAGTGGTTCATCTTAAACGGACCTAATCACAAACTAATACATATGTAAACTAAGCAAAAGTTTCAAAGCCAATAGACCATGATTGAGGGGGCGGGGCCAAATATTCTCCATGGAAATAAGATGTGCTAATGCTTATACAACTGCATATACCAATTAACATTGGCCTACCACTAACTGTCCCCCTTTAACTGACCTAATCACAAACTAATACATGAAAACTAAGCAAAAGTTTCAAAGTCAATAAACCATGACTGAGGGGGAGGGGCCAAAAAATCTCCATGGAAATGAGATATGCTAATGCTTATATAACTGCATAACAAATATCATTGACCTACCACTAGTTGTTCCCCATAAACTGACCTAATCACAAACTAATACATGTAAACTAAGCAAAGTTTAGAAGTCAATAGACTGTGACTGAGGGGGTAGGGCCAAATAATCTGCATGGTAATGAGATGTGCCAATGCTATTACAACTGCATACCAAATATCATTGACCTACCACTAGTGTTTCCCATAAAGTAGATCTAATCACAAACTAATACATTGTTGACGCCGCCGTCGCCGACGCCGGAAACAACATACCTTTGTCTCGCTTTTTGACACTGTCAAGGCGAGACAAAAATTGGAAACAAACATCTATATCAACATGGTGTGGCATGACATAATGAGTTTCTGTTGCCATTCCTTTTTTCTTTGCTAAAATTCTAGTAATATGCATATGACAAAAGATTTTGTACAGCAATTTGTATATTTAACACCAAACAGTAATGTAAACTTTTTTGATCAACATACAAGCTGCTTCGGTTAGAAATAAACCTGATGCAAATGAATATCAATATATCTTTTAACTTATTTGGGGTTGAAAAAATCTCTATGGAAAGTCTGTAACTGTTTGAAAATTGAGTTGTTATCAGACCTATATAGAACAGACCTAATTTCATCTTTTATTTCGTATTTGAATGTTCTAAAATCAATTTAAGTACTTCAACATGTATACCTGCACTTGCATAAGGGCCCTTTCTATCTGACGCAGCTCATATTTTATAGGAGGAATACCACAGGCGTCACATGTGGAGAAGATATTCTTACTCTTCCAGAGCACATGTACATGAGATCGCCCCTAACTCCGTCTTGAGTTTTCTTTGTTGTGTTTTGTTGATTATTTTGTCTTTTGGTCGTTTTTCTGCCATGACATCTTCAGTTTGTTTTGGACTTATGAGTTTGAATGTCCCTTTGGTAACTTTCCCCTCTCTTCTACTGCAATATATATGACATGCTGTGGTACCAAAGTCCTTAATCAAGGAATTATACCACTTACATTTTTCTCGACAGCATGATTTTTAGTCCACTGTTTTGCATTCTCTACATACAAGGTCTTGTTGTATTTATATTCATTAGACTGCAATAAAGAGTTAATGAGAGTAGTGAGAAAAAATGACTTCAAGACAATAAAATAAAAACACAACATTTGCCACACTGATATTATTTCATCTTTTTCATGATTAAAAAATTATAAAATTGTTTTGCCTTTTATATATATGTACAATGTTTAGCTTTCAAATATCAAGCACCTTCAAATAAAATGAAGGCCAACATCTTTTTTTTTCTTTCAGTGCCAGTTTCACATTATTCAGCTATGCAAAAAAAAAACTTTACTATATCTTCCAAACCTTCCTCCCTTTTCACAATCAAAGCCTGCCCTGTTTAGTCCTTACAGTATTTACTGTATGATAAATGAACTGATTTTTTAATTTTATTACAGGGACTGAAAATTTCTAGAGCCTGAGGCCAAGAAATCCCCTTAACACTTTTGGCTTGATCTTGAAAAAAAAAATTTACTGCTTGAATCATTTCTGTAATGATTGAATTTTATTATTACTGGTGTTAAAATCAAGTCTTGTCCAGAACCTACAGAAGGGTAATTTTTTGTATGATCAAGCAACACCAACACATGTGAACTTAAAGAACAGTCATTTTTATAATGTGGATGTTCAAATCATGCAAATCAAACATTTCCTTAAATATTAACAGCATTAAAATGCAAAAAAAAATTGAAAAAATGACTGACACATAGATGCCAACCCCCTTTTGGTGCAATCAGTAAAAAGGTGTTAAGATTTCCGTAATTTGTGTATTTTGTCAGTAATAATATTTTCTCTGTAAAATTTTATAATAACCAGGCACACAGTGATATGATTGATTGATTATTGGTTGCTTAAGGTCCAGTGGCAAATATTTCATGCATGCTCTGGACAAAAACAAATAAACAGTAAATACAACAGTTAGATCCTGTGATTTAGGCTGTTCGGGATGAAGGTCGGGGAAATTTATGTCACTGGAAAATTAGGGTATATTGGATATGGGATAGACATTTAGCATTGCAACAGGCCACCTACGGTTCCCTAAAAGATTTGTTACAACGGCTCTAAACGTGCAGAGCGCATGGCACTCTTTGAACACCAGGCATCAGATTTAACGTCCCCGTTCTGATTGGACGTGGCTGCATACTTGTACAACCTGCACAGCCAAACGAATGCTTCACTTTGGCAAGGATTTTACTGCCGGTCGGAAGAAGACCTGTAGTGACCATATTTCTATTCCCCAGCCACCCTTGGGAGTGGCACACAATAACAAATACATGATTTCCTTTATTCAGCAAAACCATGATTCAAAGTTGATGAGAAAGTGAGGAACATCCACCATCGCGTTAAATGGAAGTCTTGTTCACAATATATGCAAAAGGCATAATGTTCCGGTTTTCATTTTCGTTGTTAGAGTTTTTTTTCCTTGCGTCACAAATTTAATTGTTTCACCAGACATTGTAAAATTGCATTCATGAATTATTCGGAATTTTACAAGAAATGGAGAGATGTTTCACACTGGTAGATAGTCCCGAGAAACCCCAAGGAAAATAACAGTCCGAATCATTCAAGAGCTTAATGTGTTACACGATTCTAACCAAAAATGAAGCGTCACAATGATAAAAAATTCGTAAGGGTTCCACGGAACCCAGTGTCTCGGCCACTTTTGCTCTTAATCGCAGGCTCAACAAAAATGAGATGAGGAAAAAATTTAACAATATTTAAAAATATTCCTCTCGATACAATTTTTTTATTGTAAGAAGCTTCTGTCCAAGTTTGGTAAAAATCCAGGATAGTTTATGAATCTAATAAATGTTTTAAAAAATTTAACTGCAGACTGTATGTAATATAATGTTAACTGGAAGAAAAACTAAGTCCATTCATAAGTAAAATATGGATAAACAAACTACAAAATTTTAATAAAAATTTCCTTCTAGATACTAGCTTTTGATCATAAACAAACTTCTGTCCATGTTTGGTACAAATCCAGGATAGTTTAAGAAAGTTATTAAAATTTTTAAAACTTTAACCACAGAGTGAATGTAATGTTAACTGGCAGAAAAACTAAGTCCATTTATAAGTAAAATACTGAAAAACATGATTTTTTTTTTAAATTTACTTCTGGATACTATCTTATGATCATAAACAAGCTTCTGTCCAAGTTTGGTAGAAATCCATGATAGTTTGAGAAAGTTATTAAAATTCTAAAAACTTTAACCAAAGAGTGAATGTAATGTTTCCTGGCAGAAAAACTAAGTCCATTTATAAGTAAAATATGGAAAAACAGGAATTTTTTTTTACAAAATTTACTTCTGGATACTATCTTATGATCATAAACAAGCTTCTGTCCAAGTTTGGTAGAAATCCAGGATAGGTTAAGAAAGTTATTAAAATTTCAAAAACTTTAACCACAGAGTGAATATTTGTGGACGCCGACGGAATGTAAAATCGCTATGTCTCGCTTTTTCGACAAAAGTCGACGGCTCGACAAAAATGTATATATAAACAGAGAACTGTTCTGGACAGTTAATGAACGTAAATCCGTAACAAATAGACTGTTAATCGTAACACCGTAATTTTCGTCCAAAATTCGTAACAATTACGGGAAAATCATAATGGTTGGCATCTATGCTGACATGACTGAAAGCAGCAGTACATAAATCTTCAAACAAGTTGGAAAACTTTCTGGAAATAAAAAAAAATTGGGGGAATCCTCCTTGATATTTCACGAACAATCCCTATATATGGTACATTGTAGTAGAAAATTTGGGAAATGTTTATTGAAATATTACACAGTCTGTCATAAACATTATAGGACTAAACACATTTTTTCTAGAGGTTATTGATGTGTAAACTGGGGCGATTAACTCACAAACTGAATAAAGTTTGTGAGACAGCGACCCAGTTTACACATCAATAACCTCTAGAGAAAATGTGTTTAATCCTTATAATTCTTAACCCAAACATTTGCAATTTTTAATTAGCATTTTTTTGGTACATTGGCTACTATTTACCATCAAATGCACAATTGACATTTCGTAACTAAGGAGTAAGCCGCCATATTGACATTCTGAAATCCATTAATGTTCGATTAATGCAATAGAATCTAAAATAAAATAACACCTACCTCAAAAACTTCATTTTAATGAGATATTATATTTATTAACATTTGAAGCGTACAAGAAATGGAATAATCTTCATCTTGAGATTTTTCATTCGTATGACGTCAAGTTTTCCCATGACAGGAAAAAATGCTAAGGGACCCATCCAATTCAAGTATATGTAGATTTGCTAGCGCTCGTCACTTTCGTAATTTACGAAACTGTTTTCAAAATGACGAAAGTATTTCAAATCAATTTCGTCACTTAAATTTGGAAAGTGTAAAAATATTTTCGCATGAAAAATACTATTATTCTACCTGTCTACATGTTTCTGCCAAGTTTATGACCCTCAGCTAATTAACATTTACAACAGGTGTTATAAAGTTGTGATGACAGCTAATCCGCTTATCGCCATCGGATGGGTCACTAATCCGGTTAATTATTTTCCCCAGTAAAATTAGTCAGTCTGCATTTTAATTTCAATATTTCTCAAGGCCAACGACCACAATTTGCAGTTCGCTTTTCGTAGTTTCGTCATTTGAACAAAATTGTTTTCCCCTGGACAATTCGCTTTTTAATAGACGTATTTACACTTGTATGCAAATTTGTCCGCCATTACGTAAAAATCACACAGGTTCCCGTAAACTTTGACATCATAATTCAAAACATTTGACGTCACAATTAAAAAGTGATTGTTCTCTGACGTCAAAAGGTGATTTGGAGTATATCTAAGGTCATTTGGAGGCAAAATATAGCTAAATACCAAAAGTGTAAATACGTTTATTTCAATATTTCTAAAACGATCATAACTTGCAGTTCATTTGTCGTAGTTTCGTCAGATGATCGTATTTTCGTAAAATTTGATATAAAACGTTCAATTTCGATTAAAAAGATAGAACTTTATTCAAAACGTTCAGAAATGTTTTCACATTAAAAACTTCCATCATCATCAACGAGTCAAACAGGTGCTTCCTTTACAATATACTGCGCATGCATGAAAGTATTCCTATGAATTTAAAGACACTAAAACGTAAAATACGAAATAAATTTAGTGCCAAAATAAATGAGAGAGACAAATATAGTTCTTACTCAGCAAATTGAAATAAAAAAAATTTATAATTTCCTGCCTTTTTTTAAACACGAATCAGTCCATAGATGAATCCGGATTCATTCTGAATTTATTATCTACTTGTCACTTCCCGTTTACATTTCATTTGAAAATCGAAAGTATACATGATCAATAGACTATTTTCATATTACCGACTTTTGACTCCGGATTATAGAATAAAATAGAATAGAATATTTTTATTTCCAAAATTACAGGGCCCATAAAGGGCATAAAATCAGATACAATTGATTTACATAATTGGTAACAACAACAATAATAGTCACTTGAAAATATATATTTAGTATATTAGCATTGGTCAGAATCAGAGCCAAAAACCACATATATATTGTGAATAAAAGAATAAAATTACGTTATATGCATTCATTCTCAAATCATTTACTTGACTTAGTGTCAATATGCATACCTGATCTCCTTAATTCAAAACAGTCACAAATATAACAGCCCAGTTTTTCCATAAGAGTTACATTTTCTTGAGTCAAGAGCCATAAAAATTTAGAAGATTTATTTAAATTTTTAAAATTATAAAAATTGTCAGATATGTATTGAAAAAAGTCTTCCCTTTGAGTATCATAAAGAGGACATTCAAACAAAAAATGAAGCTCATCTTCAACTTTACCAAGTGAGCAATTTGAACAAAGACGCTCTTTCTATATATTTTTTTGAATATCTGTCTGTCTCAATTTTTAAAGAGTGAGCACTTATTCTAAAATTTACAAATTGACTGTCTTTTTTTAAATCCTGTAGTTCTAAATATTTTTCTTTTTTAAAACAATTATTTATAGAAAAATAAGTACCAAGCTTTCATTTTTCAGAGTTAATTGTTTGATACTTCAGCCTATTCCAAAATGTTAAATAACTTTCACATAGTTTATTTTTAACATACTGACATAAACAACCAATTGATTGGTCAAAATTTGGTAATTCAATCTCTCTCTGAATATAATCTATACTAGAGTACCATGTATTTACATTAGAAATATGTAATTGTTTACAACATATGAATGCATCAAATAATAATCCTTCTTTCAAACCTTCCAGTCTATGACAATATTTTAACATTGATAAAATTATAGTAAAATAAATAGGAAATCTACCAAGCTCTGACATCACAGCTATGTTACTGGACTTTCTGTTTACACCAAGAATATATTTCATAAATTTGTTATGAACTTTTTTTAGAAGAATCCTGACCAAAAACTTTTTCCAATATATAATCATTATCTTTTTTACAAGCAGCTGAATCAGTACGAAACATTCCCCATATTTCACTGCCATATAATAGTATGGTTTAATTGTGTGATCATAAAGATGTAAAAAAGTGGCAATACTAGGGTTAGATGATAAATAAGCATCTCTGCAGCTTAAAACATGCTTTTAAAGATTTGTTGTATAATTCATCTTTACACTGCTTGAATATACCACTAGATGTAAATGTGATTCCAAGATATCTATACAATTTTGCACATTCTATCTTTTTACCTCCAAAATGTAAACAGCATTTTAAAAATTTTCCTGGCTTGTAATTTGTCGACTGGTTACCTTGGACATCATGGTACCAAGTCAGGTAAGAGCAAGCTAAAGAATAAAACCAAGCTTTCAATCGGTACAACTTTTGGGGAAAATTACCTGCTAAACATTTTTTTCCACTACAAAATCATCGGAAAACAGTAAACTTTCCCCTCAAATTACACCGATTATATGTTTGATTTTACTTATTTTGGTTGCTCTTACTTGACCGTGTACCATGATGTCCAAGGTAACCAGTCGACAAATTATATAATCCGGAGTCAAAAGTCGGTAATATGAAAATAGTCTATTCTCAATTAATTTACAATTTACAGTTATCAAATGGTTATTAGAATCGTTCCATGTGAATTTGTACAAATCCTTGGTTCCAACTTTATAGAAATTAATTCAAAATATCGATTTTAACGTCTTATAAGGATAATGATTATGCAGTGTAATAGTCTTACAAAGTTCAACAAGTTCATTTATACTGTGATTCCTGGTTTTGATAAAAAGGGACCCAACTTTAGTTGATCAGGAATGTCCCCTGAAACTAATTGAAGTAAAATTTTGAACTAGATTTTCAGATCTTATATCTTAATCTTCATATTTAAGTGACACATCAGTCAAATCATGCAATTAGTCCTTCAAAGTCTGACAAAGATGTATAGTTAGTAATATACATACATCCTTGGTCCCTAGCTGTTACCCAAAATAATGTTGATTTTCATCTCACGCAAAAGTGACTAAAGCCCTCAAAATCCTAGCTTAAACCCTGGATATGCAAATCATATAAGAATTATGATCGAAAATACTAATAATATTTTTGTTCATAAAACCTTCAATTATAGAAAAACTTCTCATAGATACTAGACTTTTAATTTTGTACGCCAGATGCCTGTTTCTTAGAATAAGGACTCATTAGAGATGGTTGAATCAAAATTTTTTAAATGACAAAATCAGGTACGGAGTTGAAGGGCACTGAAGATCCTCATTGGGGATCTCTTTAGGTTATTGTACTTACAATATCAGCCATCAGTGGATCTTCAGGATTTGGTTCTGCCATTAATAACTGTATACTGGTTAACACTGTACTGATGTTTAAACATGGCTTCCATGCCCCCTATAACAAAAAAAATAACACTGTACTGATGTTTAAACATGGCTTCCATGCCCCCTATAACAATAAAAATAACACTGTACTGATGTTTAAACATGGCTTCCATGCCACTATAACAATAAAAATAACACTGTACTGATGTTTAAACATGGCTTCCATGCCCCCTATAACAATAAAAATATTTAAACTGTATACACTTTTATCATGATTATCATAATACTATTAACCCTTTTACTAACAGCCGCCCCAACAGAAGTTACTATGAGATAATGGCTTTCCTGGCTTTTTTAACAAGTTGGAGAACTTCATATTTGATATAAAAAAATCTTATCTGTAGTTATGTATGTCTTTATTTTATTCACTTATACCATGGACACAGTTTTGTTTATAAATGTTTAAAAAAAAAATTGTCAGCTAAAAATCAAATCTGCTAATTCTATGCATTGCAATTGCTCTTTCCTGAAAATATATTTGAACCTTTTCAGTTCAAGTGCAAAATTGTATTTTTTCTATTATTTGTTATTTCAAAAGAACAAGGAGTCCAAACATGTTACTTAAATAGGATAGAATTTAATAGTTTTTTTCAGATCCAATTAATTAGTACATGTATCACCTCAGTGATTTCTTTGCAGCATACCAGTCTCTTGTGCGTATGTTGTATTTGGTATTTGCTGCTTCTACACAATACATAATCATTTAGGAGTGAGAACAGACTGGTCAGCTCAAAGACAGAATAATGTGTCTAGGTAGGGTGACGTGTCTTCCTGTAGTATATTGAAGAACACAAAAAGTTGTTTACAAAAACTCTAGCTGGCTTTAAATGAATCATTGTAAAACAGGAAGGTTTAAACATCTAGAAATGTTAGAAACCACCATTTACCAACTTGCAATATGTGAGTGCACGTGGGAACTGGAATAGTAAAATTGAGAATCGAAATGGGGTATGTGTCAAAGAGACAACAACCCGACCATAAAGTAGAAAACAGCTGAAGGCAACCAATGGGTATAGCCAGAATATGTTTGATCCATATCATTTCCACTACCAGAAATACAATTTTAACATATGCTGATTTGTCAAGTCATTCAAACGTTTTATGGGCTAACTGGATCCCTGCATCTTTGAACTGATAAAGTAAGTTTTCTTTATTCTTATGTACATAATCCAACACTGCCTAAAGAAATATATTTATTTCATCATTTATCGAAGCAGTCATAAGGAAGTTATCCCCATTAGAATATTCATCCTCTAGCTCATCACAATGACTTCAAATAATGCCACCTAAAACCAAACACTTTGACGGAAAGACAAAGATAACATAGTGATTGGAATCACGCGTATTGGCACTTGTAAACTCACAGATGTGGCAAGTGATAATTTCATATAAAGTTGGTGTAAAAACATGTATGAAGGAAGGATGTTTTAGAGTACTAGTTCATCAACTACAATCTACAGAATACACTATGAAAATTGTTTACCTATAGAGTATTGTTTAACTTTGTGTATAACATAAGGCCAAATAAAATAGTGTGTGTGGTTCCAGTTACATCTAAAAAAAAAAAGTTAGGGTAGGTAGGGAAGGATTTTTTTTTTTTTAATATTTTTTTTTTACATTGAGCAGTCAGCATGGTCAGGGATACAACTCTATAGGGTTATTACAGAAAAATAACATACATTTGTTATTGTGGACTAAAAAATCAAAGAACTGTGATAACATATGTATGTTACATGTTTCAAAGGGACAATATACATCACTAGTGTAGTTAAAATACATATAAGTTCTATTGATATTACTATTGTCTTTATGTATACTTTAACTATAGAAAGAAATAACAGTTCATAGTTTGCCAATTTTGTATAGTACACCTATATGTTATTACAGAAAAAATATGCCTGTAATAACTTAAGGGTGTTATCATAGATTCTCTATATCACTCTGAAGCATTTTCTCAGACATACATCATGCTTAATTACAATGTATTTTAATTCATTGTAAGAAATAATGACCAGAGCATGTAATGAAGTTCTGCGCAAGCTTCCCAGTAATTCCCAAGTGTCTCATATAATAGGTTACATTCCTTTAATAACTAAGCTATGTTATTACAGCTAATTTTATCCCTTAAATGCCTTGTCTCATTGATTTACCATGGTTAATCAAAAATGTATTATTTTAATTAAAAAATTAATTATAAAGGCTATGCATTTAGTTTCTGCGCAAAGTCTCAAGAGTTCCCTAGAGCCATTATAAATTTAAATATTTTTGATCTATTTTACAAATAACAAACATATGTTATTGCAGATTAAGAAAATTTAAGGAATAAAGAGTAGACAACTCATGAAAGTATCTGTAATAACACACACAAGTTATTTTCTGTAATAACCCTATAGAGTTATATCTCTGACTGTTGAGTGGGAGCAACTTTCTGACTTTAACAGTGCTTAATGAACAAGAGGCTCTCAAGAGCCTGAATCGCTCACCTGTAATTTTTTGCTTAAATCTTTCATCAATGATTATTTTTGCTTTTCAATATATATTAATGACTGGCTTAAAAATTCCATTTAAATGTTCTTTGTACAAATGTTGTATCTGTCATATTTTCTTCAAAAGCAAAAAAAAGCATTTTTACCCCTATGTTCCATTTTAGCCATAGTGGCTAATGTTTCTTGACATACAAGGAAATAAAATACAAAATTTATACAAGATACTCTGAAACTCATTCAGCCCAAGTTTGGCTGAAATTGATTCAGCAGTTTCAAAGGAGAAGATTTTTTAAGGTAAGCAAACTAGATATACAAATTGTGAAAAATTGTCTTTAAAGGGCAATAAACTCCTTAAGGGGTCAATTGACAATTTTGGTCATATAAAACTTATTTGTAGATCTTACTTTGCTGAACATTTTTGCTATTTACAGTTTTTCTTTATCTATAACAGTATAATAATATTCAAGAAAATAACCAAAAACTGCAAAATAACTCATCAATTCAGGGGCAAAAACCTAAAATCAGATACCCAATTTAGCTGATAATTTCAGAGTAGGGAGACCTTAACCCAATGAATACTTTAATTTCTTGTCTGATTTCCTCTAAATGATTTAGTTTTTGAGAGATAAGTCGAAAACTGCATATTACCCTATGTTCTATCTTTATAGCCATGGCAACCATGTTTTCTAAGGAAACAGAAAATAAAACACAAACTTTATTCTAGATACCCTAAGCATCATTCAGCTTAAGTTTGGTTGGAATTGGTTCAGTAGTTTCAGAGGAGAAGATTTTTTAAGTTGGAAAAACATGATAAACAAATTGTGTAACATTGTCCTTAAAGGGCAATAACTCCTTAAGGGGTCAATTGACAATTTTGATCATATAAACTTATTTGTAGATCTTACTTTGCTGAACATTTTTGCAGTTTACAGTTTATCTTTATCATTAATTATATTCAAGATAATAACCGAAAACTGTAAAATTTCATTAAAATTACCAATTTAGTGGCAGCAACCCAACAATGGGTTATAAGATTCATCTGAAATTTCATGGCTGAAAGAACTTGACCTAATGAACATTTGTACCTCCATCAGATTTGCTCTAAATGCTTTAGTGTTTGAGATACAAGCCAAAAACTGCAATTTACCCCTATGTTCTATTTTTAGCCATGGCGGCCATGTTTTTTGAAGAAACAGAAAATAAAACACACACTTTATTTTATATACCCTAAGGATCATTCAGCTAAAGTTTGGTTGGCATTGGTTCAGTAGTTTCAGAGGAGAAGATTTTTTAAAGTTAGAAAACATGATAAACAAATTGTGTAAAATTGTCCTTAAAGGGCAATAACTCCTTAAGGGGTCAATTGACAATTTTAGTCATATAAACTTATTTGTAGATCTTACTTTGCTGAACATTCTTGCTGTTTACAGTTTATCTTTATCATTAATATAATATTCAAAATAATAACCAAAAACTGCAAAATTTCCTTAAAATTACCAATTTAGTGGCAGCAACCCAACAATGGGTTATTAGATTAATCTGAAAATTTCAGGGCTGATAGAACTTACCTAATGAACACTTCTACCCAATGTCAGATTTGCTCTAAATGCTTTGGTTTTTGAGATATAAGCCAAAAAAACTGCATTTTACCCCTATGTTCTATTTTTCGCCATGGCGGCCATGTTTTTTGACGAAACAGAAAATAAAACCCAAAATTTATTCTAGATACCTTAAGGATCATTCAGCTTAAGCTTGGTTGGAATTGGTTCAGTAGTTTCAAAGGAGAAGATGTTTGAAATAGTTTACACCGGACTGACGACGACAGACGCCAAGTGATGGCAAAAGCTCACCGTTCCAAAGGAACGGAGAGCTAAAAATGACAAAAAAATCTTTAAGGTAGGCTATTATTAAGACTAAAAGGTAAGGTAGGTAGGGTAACTGGAAACACTCATATATTTTTATTTGGCCTAAATGAAAAATTACCTTGGGAGGCATTTTCAATGTATCTAGACAAATTCTTCCCCCTGTATCTATATTGGGATGGTAGATAGGGGTCACAAACCGAACTTTCGGGGGTTCAAAAGGATACCTGAAATAAAGAAATATAAGATTTAAATGTATGGTTTTGTCACAACAACAAAACTCATTACATGTATGATCTTTTGCTGTCCAATTAATAAAATATAAAAAGTAAAGGAACTAAAATTTTACATCTAGCACGTACATGAAGTAGATTCCTTGAAATAATTGTGTCTATTCTAATGCAATCTGTTTGTAACAATAATTTTCATTGGACGTTGACAAACATTTTAAAGGGTTAGATTCTTCATTACCAGTCTGTACATGTAACTAAGAAATTAAAGCCACCATTTTGAATTTTGAAATTTATTTTTTTTGTATGTAATTTCTCCATAAAGAAACAAGGAAGTCACATTTTGTACCTCAAAATCTTCTTTTTGTCAATATTGAAACCATTCAGAAGCGTACGAAAAATATTAATATGTCTCATGTTTTTATTTGACATCGGGATTATACATATGACGTCCCATTTTTAGATACCAAATTTAAAGATGAAGCAACAGTTTTGCAGACTTTTTCATTAATGGCATTTCCCATACATGTAATACTATGCAGCAATGTGATAATACAATGTATATATTGATGCACAACCATATAAAGCAAAAGGTCTTGTAAAAGATTTGCTTTGAAAAACAAGACATATTGACAAAACCAATATGTCTTGCTACATACATAGTTGCTTGTGCAGCAATATTTGTTGACCCTTTCAGAGCATATTAGTTCATTTTAAGCTTTAGACATGTTAGATGGTGTTAGTATTGTACAATTTAAATCACTAAGGATTTTTGAACATGTTGAAGGCAAGTCCAGGGACTCGTCATTTTTGGCCATGGTGAGTCCAACAGTCAGAAGATATTTTATTGCGATATAATTTATCATTTGAGTCTCTAATAGAGCAATGAAATGAGATTAAGTTCACATTACTTTTAAATTTTGCTATAAAATGATAAGTGTTTACAGTTTATACAAAATATTTCAATCTTGATGCATCTTTGGACTCACCAGTTTTGAAAATGGTGAGTCCAGACAAATTTTCATGAGTCCAGGACTCATGGACTTGCCTTAGTGAGAACCCTGAATTACTAACTTAATTATCAATTATACACAGAGTAAATCATGAATGCAGGTTTTAATTTTTTTGTGAATCTCATTTTTTGCATATACATCATGTACCATGAGTACATAGAAATATATATATATAAAAACATTGCAATCATTTCTGAATTAACAATAGCACATCACAAAATCTAACCTTTCAGGAATCTGGATCTCCAGTGTAAAAATACCATTATGGTAAGGCGTCCCCTCTCCACCTAGAATTTCTGAAATTGGAATGAACAAAGTTGAGTGTGAGCAGCATCATTTTAAACATTACTACAATCTACATGTATTAGTCATATTACATGTATTAGTTTTTCCTAGATTAACTTAAAATTATAACTGCATGCATATAAAGTGTTGTTGTCTGTTTGACACATTCCCCATGTCACTTTTTATGTTATCTATTATTGTTAAGGGCTATGATGTTTGGCTGTTTTCACTTTTTGCTGGGCTTATGTCATATTGCATACAGTACATGTATGTCTAACAAATGACATGAATGTTTTAGCTCATCATTCAATATATTTAATGAAAAGGTCTTCTTGGTTTGGCAAGATATTCCTACATTTTCCTTCAGGAAGTTGAACTTGAGATTTATATTATTCATAATTTCGTCAGAGGACACTGCTGGCTCCAGCATTTATTTATTTGCATACAAATTTGTTGGCTTTGTCTTTAGGCGTCTACACACCTTTTTGTGGGGAAAAGCACTAAGTGTGTATCTATTATCAACTGCCTTACCTAAAACAAAAGAAATGAGTTGCCTTTGCGACATCTTCAGTCACATTTATGCTATATAATTAAAATAGTCTGAGATTGCTTGGACATCAAACAGCTGTTTTGATGACGGCCCCAGCTTGTCTGGCTAAACAGTTGTTTGACCTCAGAGCAATCTCACACTATAATTAAAAAAGTTGTCTGCATGGGTAGAACAGAAGTTGATATGACATCTGGTTCCCTTTTTGGAGGCAATGATGAGCTTCAACATCTATCTGGGAACCAGCGGTATTTCGACCAATGGGAACCAGGGTAATAAAACGAGCACAGATGGACTTGTTTACACTGATCAAGAAAGTTAAACAAATAAAACAAACGTTCTTTTCAATGATCTTTGATTTATACACTTATTTTTTTTGGTTGTCAGATAAATAGCAGGCGGTTAACTACAAAATATCCGTTAATTTTTGTAGCTACCGGCTTCTATTGAAAGCACTGGGAGAAAAGTTACATGTGGGTACACATTTACATGTACAAGCAACAAGGTACACAGTAAACATGTAAATGCAGCTTTATCAATGTTTGTGATGTGCCTATTTGTCTTGATACCAATCTGTTTTTTCTCTGGGGCTGATTTGTCTCAGTGCCAAAAACTCTAGAATTCTATAATTCATAACCTATCAGTGTGAACTGGGGTAACACGAATGACAGAATAACACCGTTATTATCCAAATAACACTTGTAATGACCGAATAACACTTGAAATTTTAATATTAGCACATTTGGTAACTTTTAAACATTGATTATTAAATAATATTATATTATAAGTGTATCAGTCAAGGATATAACTCTATAGGGTTATTAGAGAAAAATAACATACATTTGTATTGTGGACTAAAAAATCAAAGAACTGTGATAACATATGTATGTTACATGTTTCAAAGGAACAATATACATAGGGTTATTAGAGAAAAATAACATACATTTGTATTGTGGACTAAAAAATCAAAGAACTGTGATAACATATGTATGTTACATGTTTCAAAGGAACAATATACATCATTAGTTTTGTTAAAATGTATACAAGTTCTATTTATATTACTATTGTCTTTATGTATACTTAACTATAGACAGATATAACAGTTCATAGTTTGCCAATCATGCATAGTACACCTATGTTATTACAGAAAAAATATGCCTGTAATAACTAAAGGGTGTTATTACAGCTTCTCTAAATCACTCCAAAGCATTTGCTCAGACTTACATCATGCTTAATTACAATGTATTTTAATTTATTGTAAGAAATAATGATCAGAGCATGTAATGATGTTCTGCGCAAGCTTCTCAGTAATTCCCAAGTGTCTCATATAATAAGTTACATGCCTTTAATAACTAAGCCTTGTTATTACAGCTAAGATTATCCCTTAAAAGCCTTGTCTCATTGATTAACCATGGTTAATGAAAAATGTATTAATTTAATTCAAAAATTAGTTATCAAGACTATGCATTTAGTTTCTGCGCAAAGTTTCTAGAGTTCCCTAGAGCCCACTAAAAATTAAAATATTTATGATTTATTTTACTAATAACAAACATATGTTATTACAGATTTAGAAAATTTAAGGATTAAAGAGTAGACAACTCATGAAAGTATATGTAATAATACATGTAAGATATTTCCTGTAATAACCCAATAGAGTTGTATCCCTGACTGTGTATTTTATAACTTAAAAATGATTAACAGAAAGCAGGTAAGTTCATAAAGATCGTTTTAAATTTAGTGTGTACATCCAACATGGCGACCATTGTGATTTCCTTGGTCACAATGTTGGATGTACACCAGGGCTGCCAAGTCTCACCCATTTGGCGAATTTAGCGTGAGACTCACGCATTTTCATGCTTATAAGCCGGCATTTTCCTTTGATCTATTGTTTTTTTGTCTTTGATCTTTACGATTTTGGCCAAATTTAGGTGGAGTGACAATGTGGAATGTTCAGACGTATGTAATGGGGTATGTTTCTAGCTTCTTGAGTTCTTCAGTTTAATTTAATTAAAAAAATATAGGGAATAAGTGAATTACGCGCTTGTAACAGATCTATCCTTTCATCCTTGGACCAGCAGGATATTCCATATGGTGGAGATTTAGATAACATTTCTAGTTCCTTTTTCATTCTCCCTGATCTTTGCATATTGTTGAGTTTTCGTAAAAATTGCAAAAATCAAACAACCCGCTATTTTTTTACCGGAAGTTCAATTATTTATAACTAAAATTAGAAACAAATACGGAGCAAGACGCTAGTCATTTCGTACCTTTCAAACTCGACATTCTTACGTACTCAACAGTTCCTTTCGTACCCATGATCAAAACCATTTCATAAACTTAATTACATAAATCATCATATATTTGTGAATCGTTGAATATATTTATATGTATAATGTGATCTATATCGGGAGGGGGTCTAAAACATATAGACCCAAGAGACTATATATACTTTGCCGGCTCCGACAAAATAGCCTCTTGTGTGCTATATCACCGGCTCCGGAAAAATAGCGATTTATATAGTCATGCTATTTGCCGGTCTTCAAGTATTTCAGATTTTTCTTCAGACTATATGATTTTTTTTATTGAAACTCAAAGTCAGCGGTTGATGACAGTCTGGTGATAGAGGAGGAACACGTAGAAACCCGCGATGAAATGGTTAACGTTTCAATTTCATGTCCAGACAAACAAGTGCAGTGCTATATCTAGTGAAAAAGAAAAATAGAAAATTACCTTTTCTTTGTGTTCAGTGTTTACAGGTGAGGTTATATTTTGTCACTAGATTTCAGTGGCGGATCCAGAAATTTTCATAAGTGGGGGCCCACTGACTGCCTGAGGGGGCCCCCGCTCCAGTCATGCTTCAGTGATTCCCTATATAATCAACCAAATTTTTCCCACAAAACGGGGGGCGGGCAAAAGTGATGCAGACGCAAATAACATGAATAACATACTTATTTTTCTATAAGTGTTATGCGCAGTTCATGTCTGCATTGGCAGCATCTTTCTTGTGCAAGACAAAAAAAAATGCACCAAAAGAAAGGCTCTAGTTTGTAACACTTATAAAGTATTTTGAGGTGGTTGAATATTACTTTTGATTTAAAAACCTATAGGATATTTTGATTGATTTTTTTAGTTAAAATGTCGATTTTAATATGCATGCTTTGCTTTTTTTTAAAAAGACATATTTGTTAGAGACTTCTTATAAATGTAAAATATCAATCTAAATATGCATGCTTTGCTTAGGTATAAATGTTTTAATGAAAGGCATATTTTTTTTATATATTTTTCTATCAAACTGCATGTTTCTGTATTTTTTCTATTCTTTAATAATATACTGAAAATCCGAAATTAAGACCGACAAAACAGCAAAACTCTATAAAAATCGCTATTTAACCGGAGACGGCAAAACAGCGTTAAGGAGGCTATTTTGCCGGAGCCGGTAAAATAGTACCTTAATTAAAGGCTATTTTGCCGGAGCCGGTAAAATAGTACCTTAGAGGCTATTTTGCCGGAGCCGGCAAAACAGCCACTGCTTTTTCTTTAGTACCATGTTCACTGCTGTTTCAGGCTTCTTTTTTCTTTTTTTCTAGGGGGGGGGGGGGGGGGGGGCATTTTTCTCTATACTTTATTTTTGCCCATTATTTTCTATGTTTGCTCATTACTATGATTATCTGTCCTCTAGATCTATTCTGAAAACCCTACCCATGCAGACTTTCACTGCTTATATTATTGTTTTCAAGTTGTGTCACTATCAGATAATGTATATGCATGTATATATACATGTATATATGTTAAACCACTGAATATGAAATTATGAAATGTGATACGTATGATTGCCTGGGGCTACTATGTATTGTGTAATAGTTGTGTTGTCATGAAAGGGAGGCTGGATGGGGTGTAATAAACAAAAAGTGCAGAGAAAATAGAAAAAAAAAAAAAATAGAGAAAAAAGTAAAAAAACAAATGAATGGACAATAATGACACCAATAAGAGTACAGAAATGCCCATTACCGTCAGGAATCAAACTACCATATCGGTAACCAATTGCGTCAAATCATGTGAATCGTCAAAATCAGTCGATTTTTTTTATCGTCATAAATTAAAGAAAATGTACATGTTATCGTCATGTACCAAAATTTACCGTTAATGTCATTTGGCATGATTTTTTATCGTTATTCTTCATGAAAGTACCCCTATTACGACCCTCAATAATGTGGTGCAAAAATACAAAAATAGAGAAAAAGGAACAAAAGATATAAATAATAGAGAAAATGACCTAAAAAATCAAAGAATACATAAATGAATGACCCCACCCAGACCCTCATGAAATAGAAGTTTTAATAAAATTGTTCTAAAAAAATATATTTTCCACCGGAAGAAATATTGCAGTTTTTGTTACTGACTGAAAAAATAGATTGTTTGTTCAAACAAGAACAGATATTACATATTAATATGGCATTGCATTGCTTATAACGAGTTTCCAAGGAAACCTCTGTTAGGCGCAAAAAATATACGTTGACATTCGTCCAGCTACTAATCCATAGTAATCATCGATACTTGATTTTAACTTAGATGACAATACAAAATAAATTTAAATCACCCCATTTATAGCGCTAAAATCATATTTATAACACTAAAAGCGTGTCGTACTTTTAAACTGTTTACACTGGTAACCAGTGACATGGAAAAGGCTGAGAGTTTGATAAAGTCACGAAAAAGCAACGACGTTTCATACATTGTGTTTGAAAATAGATCCTCAACTGTGGCCAGTGTGTTTTGGCACGATTTTGATGGGAGAAAGGTAAAATTCTGTCAACTTCAGAATAAAGGAACGTATAGCCAATATAAAGTCAAAACATTTGTCGGACATCCATGGTCGGTTGAAGATTCTGACACTGGAGTAAGCTTGCGAATCGACAATCGGCCTGTGTTCTATCCGTATTCAAATCCAAATAAGCATGCAAAGGTTTACATAGATGACATAACTAAAAACAGAGGTATATGCTTATTAGTCACAAATAACTTTTTACTTTCAGTTTTTAATATTGTATTGTAATGCAACACTTGAATTAGGTTAGTTATTTATATCTTATCGCTTCTTAATTCCAGTAATTCATTCAATGGTCTGGGACCTAATATAAAAATTATAGATAAGATATATTTTATTACCAATTAAGGGCAAATATATATAGAGAGAGATAAACATTGATTAGCATAGATACATACAATTTAAGTACACAATTACGATATAATTAGACTGTAAAAAAATGTATATATACAGTTCGCCAAAAGTTAAGCACCACCTATTTTTATTGCATCGAAATTTTTTTCATTTAAAAAAATCAGTTAATCCTCGAAAAAGAGAAAATATTCATGTAGCAATTTTGCTAACATATACCATAAACAAACCATAGACTTAAGTTTGTTCACGTATGCAGGTTCTATGCATTTGAAATTTGCGTGAAATAGTGAAAATTACACAAATCAGAAACGGAATTTAAGTTTCACTGTGATTTTATTTTTTACAACAATTAATCACCCAATATCATTAAAAGTCTCTACAAATAATCTTTGGTATGTTCGGCAAATTTAATGTCAATATTTGAGTCAATAGGATGTGTACGTAACACCCTCTCTTCCGGTACAGTTCCATAACACGGAGTCTCATACTCTGTACAAGCCTTCTGAACTTTAGTTGAGCAAATGTATTCCATTCAGCAACAATTGCGCTTCTTAAATCGCTAAGATTTTGCAAAGGTGGATCTCTGCGATTGAGATTTCTGCCAATGGCATCCCAGACATGTTCGATAGGGTTCATGTCTGGAGACATGGAAGGCCAAAAGATAGTGTCAATGGCTTCTTGCTCTTTGTACTCTTTGTACTCGGTTACAATCCTTGCCCTGTGTGGTCTAGCATTGTCGTACATGCATAAGGCGGGTCTTGAAGCAAGTGGAGGATTATCAAAATGAGGGACTACAATGTTTCTAAGCACCAAATCCCTGTATGTCTGTCCGTTCATGTTACCCTGCAGAATATGCATACCCACCTTACAACAGTATGAGAAGAAACCCCATGCTGTAACACCACCAGCAACGTATGCAGTCGTTAGGCAAATGTTGTTTTGGTCATTAGCAGTTTTATTTCCACGACAAACTCGTATTCTGCCGTCTATTGGTCGTAACAGAAACTGACTCTCATTTGACCAATGAACATTTTGCCAGCTTCTCATGTTCCAGCGTCGATGGTCATTAGCCCTTTGAAACCTGATTATACGGTGCCTGGCTGTTAGGGCAGGTCTCTTGACAACACGACGTGCTCTTAGGTAGCCTCTATGAAGTTGACGGACCAATGTTCGAACACTAACATGACCATCTTGACGCCAGTGGTGTCTAAGTTGTGGGGCAGGAGTAAATGGGTTGGCTTTAGCACAACCAATAAGGAGTCTGTCATCACGATCGGTAGTTAAACGGGGTCTTCCGGACCTTGGTCTATCATTTACAGTTCCTGTGTCAACATGACGTTGTAAAAATCTGACAATGACGGTGTTTTTAACATTGAAATGGTTACCTATGCAACTAGTGCTCATACCGGCATTTAACATGTCAATTGCTTGTCAAGGTTCAGTCACATATAACTTACCCCTTGCCATATTTCACAGTGACTTGGTGAAGGTCAAATTTCACCAGTGCGCGGGACAGTAGGAAGATGATTTAAATTTAAGGCATCGAAACAGTGTATTCGAAAAAGTGCAGATGACCATTAATAAAAAAATTGCTTGGCGTGTTTATCGGAGTTTATTTTTTTTTTGTCGTAATGAATTTTCTTAGTGTATGTTATAGGTAATTCATAACACCAAATATAAATATTTTTTTCGCAATAGTTAAAAAAATATTGCCAGTTATATTTAGGTGGTGCTTAACTTTTGGCGGACTGTATATATAAAATATCTGATCATAATTGGGTTTCAGGATCACAGGGACTCAGATCGCTGATTAAAAAAAAATTCAATGTTTTTCAAATCTTTTTTTCGTATTTAATTCCAGTCTATTTGTATTACATTATTCACGTTTTTAACGTTGGCATCAATATTTCTTTGTTTTCTAGCAATGTGCAGTTTACTCTCCATATCTGAACACTGAAAAAAAACATTTGAAAAACATTCATTTCCCGTTTGAATTTGTTTTACACTAGTCATTTTTGGGGCCCTTTATAGCTTGCTGTTCGGTGTGAGCCAAGGCTCCGTGTTGAAGACCGTACTTTGACCTATAATGGTTTACTTTTACAAATTGTGACTTGGATGGATAGTTGTCTCATTGGCACTCATACCACATCTTCTTATATCTATAAACAAAATTTTAATCTGCTAACCGAGTCCTTGTGTCCAGGATAGGTGTCACACAATTGGCATTTACTTCTTCTCTGAAGCACCGTACTTGAGATCACCCAACTTTTCAATGGGGCCACTCGATCGGGTCGGATTCATTTTTTTTTATTTCATGTGTATTTTTTATGGAATAGTATACTGCTATATTAATTATGACCCATTTATTATATGGTCAACATTAATCGAAAACAAGCACCACATAATAATAACCAGTGCCCTAAAAAAGTTAATAATAATTTCTTTAATTTTGTTGTATAGAAAAGCTGTACATGGACATATATATTGTGTCGACTGACATCAGGTCGGTACACTTCTGAGGAGAGGAAGGACCTCTTTTTCTAGATGTCGGGATTAAACCTTTATTTTTGCAAAAATTCTGGATTGGGCTTTAATTTTCGCTGAAATTCGGGATTTATACTTATCAGGATCCGGGAATTAATGATTATTTTTTTCGGGATCCGGAAAAGAATGCTTAATTTTATTGGGGGGGAATTCGGAACTACAACCCCTCCTACCGCCCCTCACCTCTGTTTTGCTCCCAGATGTATTTGTCCCACACTTTGTTTATACGCAACTATTTGAAACTATATGCAAAAAAGCATTTCTCAATGGTCGATCAGCAGACGACAATTATTATTAAAAGATGAGTAAAAGGCAACCATAAACCATTAGATGTATGAACGATGACTTACAGCTAGATGTCTGCAAATATATAATTTTATTTATATCACAGGTCATTGTTAGATCTAGCTGTGGACTGGAAAAGGTTCTATATATCATTTGAGACCTTTTTTAGATCCTCTTTTATAAATCCATTTGCAATTTTTTTATGTTTATTTAATTTTTTGACAGATCCGGGAACCAATAGCGGTTTGCAGTCATTTGTAGACGCAAAAGGTAAAACAAGTTATTGTACATTTTGTAAGATAGTAACTCCAACGCCGTATTGGTCAAATTGCATCGAGTTCCCAAATTGCGCCTATTTTGCAAAAAAAGGTGACTGAAATCTGATACGTTTTTTTAGAGACTAAAACAGCTTGTACTTTCATAATTTGCCAGTATGCAAGTCTTTCAACATAACTAAATGTACAGTTAATTCAGAATTTTTTAGCGAATTTTAGCGAGATTTTTCTTAATCAATGCGAATATATTTACATATCTGTATGCAGATTTTCCACACTTATTTCTTACAAAATGTATTTACAATCATGGACTAATGTCAAATTGTTCTAAAAATGCGGAGAAATAAAACAAAACATCTGTTATTCGATTTTTATGGTTGTGAAGTATAATATCAGAAACATACAAACCAATATGACAGACAGCAACCATGCAACGATAACCACTTAATAACAGGCACCTATATGTATTTATATATTTCTCTGTTTTGAATATTCTTGCATTTATTTTCACGAAATGTGCCATTTTAGCGGTATTTTTAACATTGCCATATAAGCGGGAGGTTTGGCTAGCCATAAAACCAGGTTCAACCCACCATTTTTTCTTAAAATGTCCTGTACCAAGTCAGGGATATGGCAGTTGTTATCACATAGTCCGTTTCTATGTATGTTGGCGTTTGTTTTTGTAGCAGTTCAGTGTTTCTGTTCCGTTTTGTTTCCTCTTATAGTTGATGTGTTTCCCTTAGTTTTGGTTTGTGACCCGGATTTGTTTCAGTTAAATCGATTTATGACTGTTGAACAGCGGTATACATTGTACTACTATTGCCATCATTTAATATTTATTTATGTATTTATTAATGAAATGCACATTTATACTATTTATACTCAGAGGGAGTGAAGGCATATAAACAATACAATACAAATATATACACAATTATAAAATATCAAACATCAAATATACCGGTAGTAAATAAAAAAAGTAATAATATTTAGGCATGTGTTGTGTCCACTCTCCTCGGTGCAAATGACTTTTTAATGAACGGAACAGTAAGCTGCATAATATCAAATGAACATAGAAGTAATTGTAATCTATCTTTTTTTTCAAAAATCCTGGACAAATATCATTTATATCTTTTTCTAGCTGTTTTGATAAAGAATTATTAATTGTACATGCTAAGAAAATGTGCGCTCAAGACTTAGTCCCCTGGCGTATACTGCAGTGGTGAAATAGTACAAAATATAAATCAAACTGCATACAGAAATCATTAGGAAACGACCATTTAACTTCATAGGGGGAGGGGGGGGGGGGGGGGGGGGGGGGGGGTTATGATTTTTTCCTAAAAAAATATTCTGATCCCAAATTTGATGAAAAAAAATATTGTGGTCAAGCAGATGACCAAAAAAATATTCTGAATCCAGATTTTCCCCATACCTGATAGTGTTAAATTTTGAAAAAAATAATTGATTGATAGCGTCGAAAAACTAAAAAAAAATGTTCGCGCTGACTCAGACAAAAAACCATAACCCCCCCCCCCCCCCCCCCCCGGTCCCCCCTCCCCCTAGAAGTTAAATGGTTGTTCTCTTAGGAAACGGCTTAATTGACTCATCAGATCAACACAAGGCACACAAAAAACAACAAAAAGACAGGAAACACTTATTACCAATGGAATAGTACGCCTTATATGACCCAATCGATGTGTTAGCCCGTGTCACCGTCCCACAATTTTCCGTTCTCTAACTTTAGTTTGCCTCAACCAAATATTATATAACTCATACACAATGCTTATTATCACAAAACACAGATTAAGTGTGAATTTGGGTGGCGTCACTTCTACCGTTCCCGAGTCCATTTATAAGCAGGGGCACCATCTGTGTCCCATTTTTAGCTCACCTGGCCCATAGGGCCAAGTGAGCTTTTCTCATCACTTGGCGTCCGTCGTCGTCGTCCGTCGTAATCGTCCGTCGTCGTCGTTAACCTTTTACATTTTGAACTTCTCCTAGAGTACCACTGAATGGAATGAAACCAAACATGGCATGAATGTTCCTTATGAGGTGCTGACCAAGTGTACTTACTCTGTAGCTGATCCATCATCCAAGATGGCCGCCAGCGGGGGACTTCGTTTAACATAGGACCCTATATATGGACAATACATACAAATGTATTCTTTTAGAGAACCTCTGAGTGGAATGAAACCAAACATGGCATGAATGTTCCTTATGAGGCGGTGACCAAGTGTTGTTACTTTGAAGCCGATCCATCATCCAAGATGGCCGCCAGAGGGGGACTTAGTTTAACATAGGACCCTATGGGAAATACATACACATGTATTCTTTTAAAGAACCACTATATGGAATGAAACCAAACATGGCATGAATGTTCCTTATGGGGTGCTGACCAAGTGTTGTAACTTTGTAGGCGATCAATTATCCAAGATGGCCGCCAGCGGGGGACTTCGTTTAACATAGGACCCTATGGACAATACATACAAATGTCTCCTTTTAGAGAACCACTGAATGGAATAAAACCAAACATGGCATGTATGTTCCTTATGAGGTGCTGACCAAGTGTTGTTACTTTGAAGCCGATCCATCATCCAAGATGGCCGCCAGAGAGGACTTAGTTTAACATTGGACCCTATAGGAAATACATACACATGTCTTGTTTTAGAGAACCACTGAATGGAATGCAACCAAATATGGCAAGAATGTTTCTTATGAGGTGCTGACCAAGTGTTGTTACTTTGAAGCCGATCCATCATCCAAGATGGCCGCCAGAGATGGACTTAGTTTAACATTGGACCCTATGGGAAATACATACAAATGTCTTCTTTTAGAGGACCACTAAATGGAACCAAACATGGCATGAATGTTCCTTATGAGGTGGTGACCAAGTGTTGTTACTTTGTAGCCAAACCATCATCCAAGATGGCCGCCAGTTGGGACTTAGTTTAACATAGGACCCTATGGGAAATACATACAAACGTTTTCTTTTAGAGAACCACTGAATGGAATGAAACCAAACATGGCATGAATGTTCCTAATGAGGTGCTGACCAAGTGTTGTTACTTTCTAGCTCATCAATCATCCAAGATGGCTGCCAGCGCGGAACTTAGTTTAACATAGGAACCTATGGACAATACATACAAATGTCTTCTTTTAGAGAACCACTGAATGGGATGAAACCAAACATGACACGAATGTTTCTTATGAGGTGCTGACCAATTGTTGTTACTTTGTAGCAAATTCATCAACCAAGGTGGCTGCCAACGGAGGATTTAGTTTAACAAAGAACCGTATGGGAAATTTATACAAATGTCTTCTTCTAGAAAACCGCTTAATGGATTGAAACCAAACATGGTATAAATGTTTCTTTTGAGGTGTTGACCAAGTGTTGTTACTTTGTAGCTGATTTGTCATCCAAGATGGCTGCTAGCAGGGGGAGTAAGTTTAACATAGGACCCTATAGGAAATACATACAAATGTTTTCTTCTAGAGAACCACTGAATAGAATGAAACCAAACACGGCATGAATGTTCCTAATGAGGTGCTGACCAAGTGTTGTTACTTTGTAGCCAAACCATCATCCAAGATGGCCGCCAGCAGGGGACTTAGTTTAACATAAGACTCTATGGGAAATACATACAAATGCTTCTTCTGGAGGATCACTGAATGGAATGAAACCAAACATGGGATAAATGTTCCTTATGAGGTGCTGATGAAGATCTTAATACATGTATCTTTATAGATTGAGATATAAGTTGTAAACTGCAAAAATATCAAGACAAGAAGATCTACACACAAGTCAACATGAACAAAATTGTCAATTGATATCTTGTTGGAGTTATTGTCCTAATAAAGTCATTTTCTACAATTTCAATGAATTTATTGGTAATTTCTGTAAGCTTTACAAAAGTCTTCTGCTTTTGATTAAATTACGGGGCCAATATTAAACTAAATTTGGCCTCAATCATTATTAGGGTATCTGTTATGATTTTAATCTATTTTTACATGATTTCCAAAATCAAAGTAGAATCAGGTGAGCGACACAGGCTCTTGAGAGCCTCTATTTTTTTGTTAAAGAAGACGCATTTTCTAACCAATCGCAAACTCTGTAATAAAGTCAAAAGACTGTATCACTTGAATATGCTGATGTATCTGAAGAAGACTCACACGTCACAAGTTAACGACATACTATGTATATGAGTGTGTGGATGGGGGTTTACAGAATGAAGAATAATGGGCAAAAAATAAAGAGTAGAGAAAAATGGACCAAAATAATAAAGAATAGAGACTAATGAGGTGCTAAGATATAAAGAATAGAGAATAATGGTCAAAAAGTATAAAGAATAGAGAAAAATGGCCTAAAATATTAAGGAAATACAGAAATGAAGGACCCCATCCAGACCCTCATATATAGTGTCCTGAAATTTTTTACATACATGTGCTACCAGAAATTGAATTACAGATATCGATAATTAAAATTATCTACCCCCTCCAAGAATATCAAAGGGTTGTCCCCTCAAACTTTGATCTACCGGTATCGAATAAACCAATAAAGTGAGAAGGTTGCGGAAAAAGTTATAAATAGCCAAGCTCGGAAGTGACTGTCATTTAGGAATAAAATATCTTTGAAATAAGCTTTTTCTTTTGAGGAAATAGTTCAAAAGAAAATCACAGTGCGTATCCCGCGTATTTTGAAAATTTGGAGAACATAAAAATTATGAAGTTTTAGATTAAAGATTTAAAACAGTGGGTTAAGTGTTAGATTGTATTCATTCTCTCATAATTAAATAATTATATTGACCACTTGCAATTGTTTTTAAGATGTAGCGACCCATAAAGTAAGAGAGGGTTAGGACCGGAAAAGGGGTTCATTAAAAGGCCCTTATATTTATTATACTATGTACGCCTTTTCAGAAATCTGAAACACACACAAATGATTTTGACAATTAAGAACGTTCATTTACATCAATTGGCTATTGAAGAATGTGTATAATTTTGGATCATTTTCTATTTCAGCATGTCCAATATGGGTTCGGAAGAAACTAGCGAAATGAAGAGATCACAATGTAATGGATATGTGAACTTTGACCTTTGAGCGTCCGGAATTATTTTAAACAATTTCACAATGACAGCCATCTGATCATGCAGCATATTTGTTATTCACGTGCAAGTTTCTCGCGTGACAGGATATATGAATCATTTTTCTTGCATTTTTTATTGTTTATATTTTCTAATAGTGCCATATAATTATATATACAATATTAGGCCAATGTGAAAAACAATCTACTTGACTTAAATGTGTACGAAGCTAAGAAACTATGGAAGGAAGAGGATTAAATAAAAATGATTTTTTCTACATTGACCTCTTATTATTTTTATACTGCTGCAGCTAAAATTGTTACATTTATGAAAATGAATGTTAACAAGAATATCACTAATTTTCCATCCATTAACCAACACCAGATTGTGAAGGAACGTGACGGAACATGAAATCGAAATTGCACGAAATATCCCTTTGTTACTACATCTATATATAATATTAGTTATAAGTCTAAATTGAAAACAACGTTCAAACCTATGATTGCATTGGATGTTACACAGTGTGATAGTAACCTAATACAATATACATAGTATATGGGGTCAATAAATTCCATATGGGGTGAGAGCGAAGCTCGAATCCCATATGGAATTTAATTTAACTAACCCCATATCTATCGTATTCAGTCACTAGAACACTATGTAACTAATATTATCTCACCTCCTTTACATTTTCTAGGAATATCATTGGTTAAAAACGACCGCGTGGAGACCGTGTATATTTGATATGGGGTAGGAGGCGTGGTTTATTTTAGTACACGGTTAGTAGTGGTGTTACGTCCTTTTATAAAAACAACACAGCGTTGAGGGAAAATATGAAACGTTTCACCCGGACAACAGATGAAGAAATTGATGATGAACGATTGAAATAAATGCAGAAATCACATTTAAAGCTAATAAGTTGTTATTGTTGGCATTTTTTTTTTGTATAGACCAATGGAAGAAGTTCTTTACATTGAAGACTTGATCACTTTGATAGACCACTAGTCTTAAATGCCACATGTTAAGATAGTCGGTAGGATAAATTAAATTTGATTCACAGTGTGAAAGATAAGGACAACGGTAAGTGTTCTACATGTTCTATGAGGTTGCATTTCCACAAATGACACATTGAAAGAAGTGTTTATAATGTAACACCACTTGTGAAATAGGCTGCCTGTCCAAGTTAGGAGCCTGTAGTTCTGTGGTTGTCGTTGGTTCATGTCTGTCATATTTGTTTTTTCGTAAATTGTTTTGTTATAGATTAGGCAATTAGTTTTCTCGGTTGAATTTTTTCATATTTGTCATGTCGGGGCCTTTTATAGCTGACTTTATGGTATGGATTTTTCTCATTGTTGAAGGCCGTACGGTTGCCTATAATTACTCTCATCCACTTCATTTGAACTTTGGTGGATAGTTGTCTCATTGGCAATCATACCACATCTCCGTATTTTTATATTTTTATATTTAACACATGATGTGCATGTATGCCATTGTATGCCATAGTTGTAACACGTTGACTATAAATCAATAAGATATTTGCAGAAGTAAGTTTTGGGGTTATTTCCCCCCATTAGGAATACTAACGGTTGATGTGCATTTCTCCGCTCTAAATCAGCTATTTATAGATTTGTAAGAAGTTGTTGGCGACAATTTTGCATGCTGAGCTCACTTTTGATCGTTTCTGGAACGGGTTTTCAGAAAACACAACAACAACAAAAAAACGATAGCAGAAAAGAAAATGTCCGATTTCAAAAAGTCAACTTTGTTACTTTAATTGGGGGACAAAAGAAAACAACTTGTACGTAGGACAAACAGTATTTGTGTTTATTTATAAAAAGAACTAATATGATAAGTGTTGTGGTACGTTCGCTGAAATGAATTAAATAAGGTTTGTTTTCCTTTTTCTTTTTTTTTTTTTTTTTTGGGGGGGGGGGGTCCGTCATTTCCGCATTCTTCAAACTTTTTGGCGGTTTTTTTCTATTCTGTAATTTATAAGCCCATTGTTCTCTATTCTTTATATTTTAACACCACATTATTTTCTATTCTTTACATTTTTACATCCCATTATTATCTATAATTCTGTAATGCATGTTTTCTTCATTTTCCTCCCTTACTCTCTTTCATTGTGGAACTGGGGCCTTGGTGACGGAATATTTAAAGTAGTTCATCTACTGTATCACTAGCCTACCAACACTGAGGTTCTGAGTTCGAATCCAGCATGTATACCGTTAAAGGGGACACCTATTCTAATTAACTTGGATTGTCAGTTTTTCTGTCGAACGTTGGTGCTTCTCGTTGTCGTAATTTGAATATAACTTCTTTCACATGTGGAGCAGGATCAGATTATCCTTCCAGGGCATATGAGATCACCCCCTTCTCCTTCTCTTCAGTTTTCTATGTTGTGTTTTGTGTACTGTTGTTAGTCTGTTTGTCTTTTTCTCTTTTAGCCATGGCTTTGTCAGTTTATTTTCGACTTATGAGCTTGAATATCCCTTTGGTATCTTTCGCTTCTTTTTTTCAAGCAATACAAACACATTCAATCGTATTGTGAGAAGAAGTGGTGAACGTTTGTAGATGCTGTGTTATTCATTCTCTACTTGTCTGGAAATTATTTAATTCTAACATTGACATATAATACGAATAGTTGCCTGTCGTTGAAGATTGAATAAATACATAACATGCATGTACATAAGAAATTCATACTTTTGATTGGCTGAAAGCAATCGCGAGGCGTTCCATTATCAAACTACATTTCTCAATAAAATTCAACATGCATGGCTGCACGTGTTTCCCATGACAACTTCACTACATTGCATAGGAAAATAAACAAAAATTTTGACATAACTCGTAATTTCCTAGTTGTGGCACAGACACTTAATCATATAAGAATTGAACGGTCATGACGATTCTTCTTGTAATTTTACAAGAGTGTAAAAGCGTTGACCGAAGCGCGGAATTTTACACCCCAAAAAAATATAAAATGAAGCATTCCTAACTCCTAAATAGTACAAAATAGTTATGATACGAACTGGTTTTTGTCATGGTACGATACGAGAGGGCTGGATGGGCTTTACCACCATTTACGAATAGAAAATAATGACCAAAAAATAACGAAAAGAGAAAAATGACCAAAAAATTTAAAGAAAAGAGAATAATTGGGTGCAACAATATAAAGAATAACTGTAGAAAATAAAATAATAAGGCAAAAACAATATACTGATTACAGAAATGAAGGATGTAGCAGTACAAAATAAAAAAAATCGTCTAATTACAGACATTTTTAATTGTAAAATCATTTTTTCATGAGAATTTTACAGAATAAGCGTTATTCTTACAGATAAAGAAAAATACCAGAAAGAAATAAAAGAATGCAGAAATAAAGGATCCATGCAGCTTTAAATCAAATGCATATTCAGGACAAGGAAATATTACTGCGATATTAACATTATAAAAAATCTTGCTTTGTAGACTATAGAACGACACGCTGAGTCAGATTTTTAACATGCTATTTCACAAGGTAACAATCCACAGGAAGACATGTGACCCTACAAGACATATTATTGCGACTCAAAGCCGACCAGTCTTTGACCTTACTTATTAATGCCGCGTGCTTAGTGGATATGCAACAAATACCAATATTAAAGTATTTTGTTTGGCCAGGCTGGGGTTCGAACCATAGACCTCCCGCACTCGATGCGAACGCGCTACCACGAGACCACCGAGGTGGTGAATTCATTACAATGGCCATTATCAAAGTGTAAGAAGGTATATGATTCTATATCGGAAGATGACAATCTTGCTGAAGGGGTCAGATCGTAGCCCATGGCTAGCGAAGATGGCATGTTGTGATAGATTTCAAAATTGTCTAACAATGTTATCTAGCTCTCAGTACCTGTATTTTTCTCGTAGGTTATTAATAAACAAGAGTGGAGTGGCTATTTTTCAGAATTTGTGTTATTGTTCATTACTCTATATAGACGAGACATAACCTAAGTAAATAAAATGCAATGGTATATATTATATATCTAATAAGATAGCATCACATAGTGTCTTTGATCTGAAACTCACTAGAGTTGTGATGAAAGTCTTTTTTATGATTTAACGATACTTGCAAAAAAGCATTGGCTAGAGGTATAGGGGGAGGGTTGAGATCTCATAAACATGTTTAACCCCGCCACATTTTTGCGCCTGTCCCAAGTCAGGAGCCTCTAGCCTTTGTTAGTCTTGTATTATTTTTAATTTTAGTTTCTTGTGTACAATTTGGAGTTTAGTATGCCTTTCATTATCACTGAACTAGTATATATATTTGTTTAGGGGCCAACTGAAGGACGCCTCCGGGTGCGGGAATTTCTCGCTGCATTGAAGACCTGTTGGTGACCTTCTGCTGTTGTCTGTTCTATGGTCGGTTGTTGTCTCTTTGACACATTCCCCATTTCCATTCTCAATTTTATAATCATCTTAAAACTATATATATCGTCGATGGGCTTCCAAAATGAGGTAAATTACTAATTTTTCAACAACAAAAAATATCACAAACAGGCTTTGAAAATTTGGTTGAAATGTTTGCTTTCAAAAAGTTGTATGTGAACTTGAATATTTTTGTAAATGGCACTGAAATAAAAACTGGGATATTTCTGGATAACTAACCTTATTTTCACATTTGATTCCCAAAGCCCTTATACAACAATTTTCAAGTACACATACAACATTTTAGAAGCAAACTTTACAAACAATTGAGAGTTTAGAATTTTGTAACATGTCTTATTTCAAATGTTTGATTGGTCTAAACGCATGATATTTTGGAATATTCATGTGAGATTTCCTCCAGTCAAGCCGGTTTGTATGAAAATTTAAAGTAGTTTTAGCAGAGAAGTCAAATACATGTACAAAATTTTGGAAGCACATCGACGATACTTACTATTTTATGCGTAGATAAAGGTTCTATCACTACAGTCATATTCATGGAGACAGCTGATCATTCCATTCACTGCAGTTGTAAGTCAATAAAGCGCAATTTACATCACTGTAAAAGTCTGTACTGTAGAAATCACTTAAATCTAAAAGCGCCTGACATGTCACAAAAATCTAAAAGATCCTGACAGGTCAATTAAATATAAAGGTTCATGACATACCACTAAAATCTTATTGCGCTTGACATGTGACTGAAATCTTAAAGCGCCTGGCAGTCATTAAAATCTTATTGCGCTAGACATGTGACTAAAATTTTAAAGCGCCTGACATGTCATTCAAATCTAAAAGTGCATGCTATATGTCACTTAATCTAAAAACGCCTGACAATTTTATTAAAATCTAAAAGCGCATGATATATGCCACTTAATCTAAAAGCGCCTGTCACGTCAATAAATATTAAAGCGAATGACACGTTACTATAAAATCTTGAAGTTACTGTCACA